ATCAAGATGCTATACATATTGCATGCTTTTAAAATTGGTGTTCCCATTCAGGCAGCCCAAATACCAGCACTGTTCAGTCAACTCAGTGGCTGTTCTGAACTTCACTTTGAATAAGTTTGCCCCCGGAACAGAGATTGTATTGACAAATAGGAAAAACTACTGACATAGGGCTGGATAGCTCAGTTGGTAAAGCACTGGTACGGTGTTCCAGAGGTTGCAGGTTTAAAATCCTGCTCCAGTCAATTTCTTTATTCATCTTTTTGTAAGTTTTTCCTGGGACAAAATTCTACGTGCATTTTGTATTTTCCAAGTTGTACATCCACATTGCCAGAGCATTAGAAAAAAATGTTTCACTTAAAGTTATCACAAAACTGCAAGTTGCAAATTGTTGGCTCAGTGCTGAAAGGTCATTACTGCAAAAATGTAATTTTTAAAAACACTCTAAGGGCCCTACTCTGTGCACGAAAAAACTATTTGATTTAAACCGTTTTTTATTTTTTAGTCATAAAACTATTTTTTGCAGCAACATGCTTAAATTTTAACCAATTCTGTGTCCCAAATTAAAAACAATGTTTTTCACTAAACACCTTTTAGTGCATTCTAAGGACCTTTTAGCACTGACATGAAATTTGTTTCATTTGAAAATATTACCTTGCAAAACTGCTTTGTGTGTATTTGAAACAATCACTATTTATTGCTATTACCAGTTACTTTCTATTTGCAAGTGAAATAAATACTCATTTACTTAGACGAGCAGAACAACTTGTTTGTACATGTATATCTATTTGTAAAACTGTAGTACTTTGCCACTTAACCCTTCTCCTAATCTGGACCACTTTACACTGCCAGAGTTTAAGGTACATCTGTTTCCATCTTTAGATTTTACTACATTACAATCTCATCCATCATGGAAGCCCTGCCAGTCTTAAACATCTTTCAAGCTCCTTTTATAAAGTTCCCTCTTTGAGCCTTTTAGTCTCATTCTTATAAGGGCTACAATAAACCCAATAGCAATATGAAACATTAAGAAGCTATGTCCTCCAACCCCATGGGATCCTCAGAGCTCCAATACTGGTAGTCTCAAGCCCTCAGCCATCCACTCTACCCTTCCTATCAGCTCTCAGACTTCCAGCCCCTAGGACTTCCACCTTTGCCCATCTCCAGTACACAGTTTGACTGAAAAATATTCTAAGTCCAAACAATGGAAGGTTTAACATTTAGAAACGAGCACATCTTTTCAAGAAAGTGCCATGGCATAGCGGTTAAGGACACTAACTGCTATGCACAAGGACCTGGGTTCAATTCCAGGTGGGCATGCACAATTTTATTAAAAAACTTAGTTAAAAAAAAAAAAAAAAAAAAAAAAAAACCTCCTTTTCCAGGGACCCCAGGTTTTGAACCGGGGTCCCCTGGCCTGGTGGCAAGCAAGCTAACCACTAGGCCATAGGCTTCTTGATAGATAAAATTTCGGAACTTATATTTAAAGGTTAGGATTGCGCAATTTCAAAAAGGTCAAAGGGCATAGACATTTGCATATATTTAAATAACAGAAATTTCAATATCAAAAGGTGGAGAATACACAAAATATTCAGACTTTTCAAGTATTTTAAGTCAAACATGTATTTGCAAACCTTTCCATATTTATACTTCCAAATGTTCAGTTTTATATCATGTACGGCATCACTAAAAATTCCACTGTGTCGGCTGAAACGTGAACACTACTTGGAGAAAGATTCTGCTACGATTGAAACTTCAGGTCCTCTGAACTTTTCATTTTAGAGAATACCTGTATTTCACAATTTTCGGTATCTTGCTCTAAAATGTTAAAATTTGTCAGCTTTTCTGTATGAGTGGGGGCGCTGCTGCTTTGATGTAAATCAGGGAATTCAGGCAGCGTTCAGTTATTTTTTCCCTCTTTCCATTACCGTTGTGTGATTGAGGGCAGTATTCAGTTCTTTTTTCCCTTTAATTTTTCCATTACCATTGTGTGATGTAGTAGGGCTTCATGCAATGGAAATAGCGCCCTCTATGCTTGGTCAGCAGAGCCTCTGATGCAGCAAACACAGTGGAAATTCCTCCAGCCAGGGTGCTAAGAGAAACCAATCAATGTCATCAAGTTCTGTCAATTTTATTTCACTGTTAACCCTGAAGTTGCCGGGTTATTTTGTACCATCTCACAGCCAATATCTTGGCCGTCTCAAGCCTAATTTTATTCAACACTTGGCATGCATGTAAAACACTCCTTATCAATACAGATGTGAAGTTTCAAATCAATCTGACATACAACTTATAGTTGATACGGTCATTTGAAGTTGAAGGTTACAAGCATACTAGTCCCAGACTGGGGGCCAGTCTACTGGACTCCCTCTGTATCCTCGGCTCCACAGTGGTCCATTCAAGAAGTGGAGACTCAGCAAAGACGCCTTATGAAACCCCTTTTGTGTGTATGGATCACTCACTCCATCAATACTCTGATGTATTACTTTGGGCGATTTCCAATTTGTTGAAGTTTGTGAAAGTTTGGTTTCGATTTGGGCAATTCATTTACTACGGTGATTGGCTCCCAATCACTGACCGATGCCAAACACAGTCGCGAGCTGTTTGGTCTGGGAACCAAACAGCATTATTACATAGATCCCCAGAGCATGGCACCGCCAAAGAACGTTGATGAATGATGAACCGAAATGCATACGATGGGGGATCAAGTGTGAATGCATTGTCAGACATAGCGTGGCATATGTGGAATGCACACCCTTCCCTCATCCAATCCCAATCCCGTACGATGATGACGAGCACCCATGAAAGTAACCAACGGCTGTTACTTGACATGTTCATTACATTCACGCTTACATGTACAAATTACGAGTGATACACAGTCGCTGATAAGACAGCAGTTTGGATCACCGTCTCAACGCTGTTTGGTTCCCAGACCAAACAGCCCCTGACTCTAATTGGCATCGGTCAGCGATTGCGAGTTAACCACTGTAGTAAATGAATGGCCCAAATTGAAACCAAAATTTCACAAACTTCTACAAATAATACATCATAGTATTGAAGGAGTGAGTGATCCATACACACAAAAGGGGTTTCATAGAAGGCGCTTTCGCCGAGTCTCAACTTTTTGAATGGACCGCTGTGAGGCCTCGGATACGGAGGGAGTCCAGCAGACTGGCCCCCAGTCTGAGGCTACAAGCATACCAGCCACCGTGTGCACTCAGCTAGCACAGCAGTTGAAAGTGCGGGTACATTTTTTTGGTTGACCTGTTTCGGGAAAGTGGGTGCTGCATGAGAACAGTATGTGTGATTCAAATCCAGCTGCTGGCAGTATGTAATGGCCCTTGGCAAGCCACGTCACCCCTGCTTGCGTCTCTCCACCCAGGAGTATAAATGGGTACCAGCATTAGCTGGGAAGCAACCTGCGATGAACTGGCATTCCATCGGGGGGGGGAATATTCTCAGTCGTTTCATGCCAAGGAAACCGCAATAAACACCGGCCTGATGAGCCAAATTGGCTTGGACCAGACTTGCTTTTTGGGGGGGCTTTTTTTTTCAGGAGAAAGGGGACGAGAAAGATACATGTATGTGCAATTTTCACAGAATTGGTGTCAAAAAGACCACAAAAGAGCTACTGAAAAACTCCTGAAGGCTCGACTACTGTACTGTGGCGATATCAGAGAAAATTTTGAGGAGGCAGATTCTATCTACTCTTTGTTCTTTTAGGGTCAAATGAACACACAAAATGGTGATTGTTTACATGTCAAACCTCAAAGTGATTTGGTTCAGGTAATATCTTAGGACCCCTATTAGCTTGAGTGTCTGTATTTAAATCTTCAATATTGCCTTGACGTTACTTTGTGCATGTATCTGTGACATCAATGTATGGCTTCAACATCATCTTCAATACTTAAAAAGACAACTTAAAGTCACTGCAGAAGACATTCTTCTGGATGGACAGTACGTTTCTTAAACTCTCACTACCAACTCTGATTCTATCCACTTGCCAACAAGGGTCCTAACAGTAAAGAAAAAGTTAACTGGACTAGAGAAATAGAAAGGCCTCATCTCTGTCAATTAATAGGAATGATTCCAAAGCCAGTCTCAACATGACCAGTTTGTTTGGCTGCTGTTGATTGCCCAATGCATCAAAACGTTTTTTGGTTAACTTACTGCGACTTTCCTGTACAATTACAAATCCAATGGGAACACACGGTAAACTACGTCCCTGTTAACTTACCACAATCGCGATGTAAAACTAACTGGCCAAAAAGGGTTGCAGAAGATTTCTGTGCAGCCACGGTAAGTTAGCAGGGTGCAAAAACTCCAATGTGAACAGTTCCCATACAATGTAGACTTGCAGACAAACCAGACTACTGCTTACACTGAGAAAATGGCTGTATGGTTCCCAACTCCAGCACCATGCGTACAGTACAGCAGCATGCCGCACACAGTGAAACGTGCCCGGATAAAGCTATACACACATTGTGTACAAGGCTTTTCCAGTACGAGTTTGTCATCGTTGTGGCAGATTTGGCCGAATTTGTCTGATTTTATCTTTGTTTTTGTCAGAGTTTGCCGATTTCATCAGGATTTGTACAGTGCAGGCTTATTAGGCCTAACAGCTGGTCTTATTAGGCCTAACACAGCGAATAAACATTCCGCGGTAACGGTTAAACAAAGTCCACGTGGGAATGCACAGTAGATTGACATGAAGGAATGTCACGGTAAGCTTCCGCACACCCGCAGAAGAAAAAGTCCAATGTGAACGCAGCTATAATGCATTAGACTTTTACATCTGCTGGAGTATGCTGCATCTGGCAGGGTTAGGGTCAAGGTCAGTATTTGCAAAGTGATACATGCAGTTTTCACCAGTTTTAAACTCCTCTTTTACAGGCTGTAGACTGCTGGCCCTCTTTGATTCCACAATCTGACCATCTTGCTTGGACCTTCATCAATGTTCCAAGAGCAGACACTATGACAATAAGGGGCTTGATCTGTGAAATTAAAATAATCATAATATGATTTAACTAATTCACCCATTTATAATAAAAAAATTTCGTTTTACAAGTCCAATATTCATTTTCATGTAGTTATTTTCAAGGAGCTGCAAAAAAACTGTTCAAAGATTCAAAATTGTGGCTTCCATCAGTAAATTTTGGGGGAAATTATACCCAAGACATGTTTACCATCGGTTATGTTCTCAGCCGGAAAATATTTGTCATCATGTCCACAAAGTTTATAATATCCGGCACTGTGCAGTCTCTTTAGTTTTTAATTTACTTCTCTAAGTCAACAGAAATTGACACAGAACCGTACATTTTGTTAATGGCTGCACCAAGTGGCAACTTCAACTTTATTTTAAATAAGGAAAGATTTTCAGCTCAAGGAGATACATTATTCAATTTATGCCTAATCTTCCTGATCCTATAGGGGAGGGGAAAGGTTATCTCCACCCTCCCACACACAGTGACATAACGCTTTCAACCCCACACAGCCCCCCTCCCCGTTCAAACATTTCCTTTTTTTCCCCTTTCATGGGTGGAGGGTGAAGCCACCACAGCTGCCTAACTGCAATTAAATCAGAAGGGTCAGCAGGTATCAATTACATGTACGTGTACATGAGCATGATGTCATATTCAGACTTACATGTCCCCATCGTCCAGTCATCTCTTACCTGATTGCCAGCTGCCAGGTGTGTATGCAGGTGTTGGGTCTAACATCAAAGTGTGCCAATGCAGTGCAGGTGTATAGGGTGCATTTGATTACAAGGCAGACCTGCAAAAATAGCAAGCTATCACAATATGAGAAACTCAAACTAACTGAAGAATCTTCAACGGCAAAACTGCACGAAACTGAATCAATGAGGACTGACAATTCAATTCTACATGTATCAAAACCCAAAAAACTGATCAACCCATTAAAAAAAGACCAAACTGAACAAATTGAATAGGACTTGAAAACCATGAACTAAAGTTTACCCAAAAAAGAGCGGGGGGGGAGGACTGTGGAACCACAGATTAGCCAAAACTTTATACTTCTCCACTGCCATACTCAATGTACATGTAGGCGGGCCAGCACACAGAGTGTGTCCGGTCTTGAACTTCAAATGACCATACAACAAAACAGTACATATATGTTGGCTTGAGCGCACCTAATTTTTACAAAATGAAGCATGGGATGGCTGAGTCACAGTGCCAGCTGTGACAAGGCACATGGTCCAAAATAACTCGGCCTTTTTAGCATTCGCCAGCACAGTGTATCAAACAGAACTTATAAGCACTCTGACTTCAATCACTGATTCTAGCAGACGGGACTCAAACAGAAAACCACACTCCAGTTATGTGGAACAATACATGACATGTACGTTGACTTGTCTCTTATATCTGCTTCACTGAGTATCATGGCCACACTACACGTACATGGCCATATTAAATGCAAGGAATTTGCATAAGTTTAAGACCACTTGGAATTGTATTGGTATTTCTGTCACTGGGCCTGCATTACATTGTCTAATTGAATGGTGCATAACATCACTGTACAATGTAGTAGTGCTATCTGTATACCCATTTGGATGAGATTTTTGCAAAGGCAGGTCTTGTATGATATTTTGTCTGTAGGTTAAAAAAAAGTAATCAGAAAAAAAGTCTAAGTAATCAGAAAAAAGGAGGGCACACCAAACACTAGACTGTTAACATTTCAAATCATGGGAAATGTAGTCAAAGTGCTGTTTAACCAAGATACGAAGGTTACACACTGAAAATAAACAGAAATTGCCATTATTGGTTGGAGTTTGGTTTTTCTTCAGGTTGATACATTTTGTTTGAGTGGTCCTAAACTTCTGCAATGACTGCACTGGTATACTACATACTCTCACAGGCATGAAAGCCTAAGGGGAGCTACTCTTATGTTAAAAATAGATCAATTCAAACACATGACAGATGCTAGTTGAACACACCTAATGTGGTGTGCAGTATTAACGTTCTCAGAGATCACCACAACTGCTGGTGTCTGGAGTTGTACATGTTCACTGCCAGTGAAGATCTCGAGCAAATCACAGTTGTAACAAAATTATGGTATTGAGATGACAAATAATTCACCAGCAGGCATGACGGTCAGGAATTCGCCATTTGGGCAAATTGAACATGATAAACTGCTGGGTGAATTAATCAAAAAGTCAGTTGAGAAATACCTGTATGTAGCTGATACCCTTCACGGCCAGGGAGCTTTTTCCCAATGTTTAAACCTTCCTCCACTTGTTTCTAGTTTAGGAGTAGGGCCACATATACGGAGGTATCGTCCACTAGCCTGGCCATAATGAAGTTGAGTCTGTAACGTGCCACTCTTTGATGTTTCCTTGACTTTCCCCATGCATCACTGCCAAACCTCTTCGCTGAAAAACACGGAATTCATTCAGTTACAATAAATAATGACATTATAACCTTTAAAATACATGCTACTGATCACCTCTGTGAACAATTTTGATGTCATGAAACTTAAAAACCCAAAATTCAAAAACGACAGCATCCAAAAATTGGCACAAATTCAGTTGACTGAAAATCCAACATCCCACATAGGAAGTTCTTCAAAGTTGATAAATTTGGGTATTACCCCTAAATATACATACATGTACACACTTATTTTCAGGAAAGTAGGCATAACGTTAGTAGTTACTTTCTTCACTGTGGGTACATTTTCAGAGTCTAGAAATACACGAACTTTAATACAGGTATGCTGAAGTGTCGAAACTAGCTTGGAAGATTTTTATTCATGCTGCAGGCATGTGCCTGCCTTCCAGAGTTGACGAGACTGAGTTGACTTGGGACCAAGTTGACCTAAGACAGAATTGACTAGGAGCAAGGTGATTCCAGACCAAGAACATTAGCGACTTCACAATATGCAGTGTATTTTGCCATGTTTTGCTGGATCATATCCGAATCTTTAAAAAGGCAATTCGTAGAGTCTAAGTTGCTCAGACTATTATTAACTGATCTACATTATCGTGATGCAGTCGCATCAAATATCATTTCAAAAATTCAAATATGCACCGCATGCCAAAGTGAAGTTAGGCTAGCACTCAGAAACATTTAATTTTGACCTTGTGCTTATCATGGGGGATGGTCTAGTATTACAGCTGCAGATGAGCACATCATCACACCCAACGACTTGCTGGGAGGGATAAACAATTTGAAAGATGTGTGCAAAATCTAAGTGAGTATATAGGCCTACTAAAGTTACTCACGTCATTTTCAAATGGACCATGTACATGTACTAGAGGCATGCGTAGTGTTGATCCTAGTCCTAGGATTGGTCTCAACAAGGTCTTTTCCTTTCTCCATGGTCTCAAGGATTAGGCCTATGAATTTTATTCCTGTAAAGTATACATGTATGTGTGGAATAATAAAAGCAAAATTTCCTGTTACATGTATGTAAAGGTCTTACCTGCCATATAATTGGAATTCTATGAGGCCGAGGAGGAGAGCCTCAACATGTATTATTGTCCCTAGTAATACAGTTTGCACCACCCTTTGAAGAAATGGTAGCTTCCTCCATTCATAAAAATGCACATTGAGCCCAGCCCTACAGGTATCCAGTTCGTAAGAGACTTCATCCCCAAGGCGAACGCGCCATGATTTTCAACTACCGATCAAGGATGGATTGGGAGTGAGAGTCCGTGCCACACTAGTGCGGCTATGGCCTGAGCTGACAGTGTCCCAACGGACGACTTGTCTCTCCCTTCTACGGACGGTCAGGTTGTCTCAACGGTCAAGTTGCCCAAAGTCGAGTTAGCAAAGGGTCGAGTAGTCCGGACCCCATTCCGATGGCATCATGACAACACTAGCAATTAGCATGACTAGCGAGTAGGCCTAGAGATCCACATTTAGCCTAGCCTAGGTCTATTTTTTTTAACAACTCACCAGCTCCCGATGTGCTTCCTAAAACGGCTGGACTCGCCGGTGGGGAAGCGAGAGTTGTCCTGGCGTAACTGGATGACCGCGCTATGGCTGATACACCTGTTAGACAGCACTAGCCGGCCTCTGCTCTGTGCCGCGTTGAACCACGGAAACGACCAAAACTTTGGACGCATGAGCGCCGCCATGTTGAAACTCTGCTGCCCCAAGCTAGACTCGACTCGCAGTCACCGACCGGTCGGTACGGTGACCGCGACCGGTCGATCACAGATATCGGAGTTGTACATGTCAGTGTGGGAAATCCCATTGTTGCCCGGGGAAAATACCGGCCTCGGCTTTTGCTGAGGGACGACCCAAGGCGCGGTCCGACCGAGTCAGCTATGTGTTGTGTCCGCGGGGCTCTCTAGAAACTTGCAGTACCGTGCGGAAGGAACGAGGAGAATGTTGCGCTGTATCGGAGATCGGCATTTGGGCAAGGCAGCCCGTTTTGCGATTCTTCTACCGGCTCACCAGATTCTTCGATACGAACATGATACGAACGGGCATGGACGCGAAGCATAATAAACAAAAATCGCCCCTTTCGTCGTTTCTCCGTAGCAAGTGGTTGCAAGGTGAAAAATACAAACCCATTTAAACAACTAGGCCTGTAAACAAATGTTTGGGGGGTTAACTATAATTACTCCGTTTAATTATCACGCACTTATCTTTTATTTTGAGGCCAACACCATGCCTGACTCATCATGCTGTCTGCACTCTGCACGGTATACACAGTAAACCCATCAATAAATTACGTCTTTCTTATGCTACACTTGATTATTTACAAATATAAAAAGGAGAATTTGCCTTGTTTGATTTTAAAAAGATTTTCAGGGAGAGTGCATTTTGGAATCTGCCTTACTGGCAATCCAACTGCCAAAGATAAACCCAGCTATTAGATAACAGCTATCTCATTATTTGCGAGTGAAACGTATTCCAGTGGTGTGAACTGTTGTTTTTATGCGACTGTGATTTATTCCTCTTTCTGGACCCGGCAAGGTTGGATTCCATGCTTGCCAGTCAAGCAGATTACAAATGCAAGTGAATACACTGCTTCAAGTCTCATCAAAACTATTTCATGGTTAACGCCATCTTGGGTTTATTTCAGTAGTCACCTGAACACTTTGAGAGCCTAAAATCGAACACTGTGTGCTGCACACTGCTGAAAAAGGCAGCAGCAATCACCATGCACCGCCAGAACTAGAAACACTGAAAGACAGCTCTAGCAATGACAATGACATTCAAGATGGCAGTATCCATGACTAAGTCTGTCAGTCGTCACACGAGGGCCTGTCTACCATTGGTCTTTTCACGATGGCCGTTCCACCATCCAATTGGCATCAATGGGAAGGCTGCCCATGTCCAGCATGGCAGAGCTGGGAATGATCTGTTTTTCTTCCCACCAAGATTTTAAAGCATGTTTAAATGCAATGTACAGTATTTTCCTACAGACCAAAAAGGCCATGATTGTGTCCAGGACTGGATCCAAGAATACTTAGTTGAAAAAAAAATGCTTGTGTTAAGCACATGCTGTGGATTGTTCATGTTGTACAAAATGGGACATTTGGGTACAGGTTATTATTACACATTTTAAACTTTGGTGACATTTGAGCATTGTAAGCTGCACCTTAAACAGCAAGATCAATTCTGCTTTTCAAACTTCTTGAAATGCAGTGATGCACTCATCAACTGTTTCCTTCCTTACACCCTCCCCCAACACTGCCCCTAGGTCTTTTGTCAGGGTTTGGTCTTGCTTCCCAAGCCCCAAGGTAGGGATTCTAGTCACTCACAATTTTACAGAGGTACAGCATATAGAAAGCTCATCAGTGTGTCCTGGCTATGAATGTTTGAGATTATCACTACATTTTTCTACCAGAGTCTGTCAGTTTAGAAGTGGCGATTTCCATATCTTGACCGGGGGCAGGCCAGGGAGTAGGGCATTGGGGGAAATAACTGATACGTGCACAACAAAAGGTTACATGAAGACATCAATAAAAAAAAGCCTGTGTTCCAATCGCATCAAAGAATTCCTGCAGTCACAAGACTGCAAGTCTGTATAACCTGTCAGACTGTCAGGATATGAATCAGGACCTAGTTTCTACTCGGTTGGTTGTTGACACGTGAAGGCATACCCAGGCAGACACAGCAAGAATGCACGAGCCCAATGGTGAGTTTATACATCAAGCCAATGCAAATAAGAAGTCATTTTAATACCTGCAAGCATTTAAAGCCCAACAGTTACAGGTGTGAATACAGGAAACTTTATGCGATTACAAAACAGAAAAATAGCACCAAATTGCATGTACTACAGACACCAAATCATCAGAAAACAAGCTGACTGAACTCCAAGAGAGAACATACCCACTGACCAGAGTATAATTGCCACCTACACAGTTTGAAGCCTTTCAAAGCTATAAAACCTCGACCAGTAGCTTGAATAAAACCAAAACCTGATGAGCGTGCGAAGACCGATCAAATGCCTGAACCACATGCACAAACTGTTGATCGTATCTGCCATTTAATAAATAACGAATGTTTTGTCTTTTTATGTAGAAATAAACACGCTACACTTCACAGCAGTGAATGCCTCATTCAGCAACACACAGTCAGCACTTGGGAATGAAAAACTCTGCAAGTCGGTGAGCTTAATTTGTTACAAATTCTCGCTTCAATGAAAATATAATGGCATCTGAATGAGGTCTTTTTTCAAGCTGGATCTTATCAGTTTGTGGTTGCATAGACTAGTCGGATTTGTTTGTGTGTGTTTTCTGCTCTGGGCTTTCAAAATAGTAACAAGTCATGGTGAAACCAGAGGATTCAAGGTGGAAGAATGATGAGCCCCAAGGGTCAGAGGTCAACAGGTGAGAGGTCATTTACCAGGGAAGGAGCCATAAGCTTAACAAGAAACCGGTGGGAATACTGTTGAATGCTGCAGGGCTGATGGCAAGGCTTTAGGATTCAAGGATCAGGGGGTTGGGTGTCATTTCTCGCTGGCGTCAGGCTTGACAATCTGAAATGTGATCAAGTACTCCGGATACGCCTGTAGAAACATTGAAGATGGTGCAAAATGGGTCAATTCCACAACTTTTTAATCTGAAACACTTCGGTTTCCCTACCTAGACCACAAAATTCGGCTGCAGTTAACAGACACAAAAATACTGATAGTGTTCTAATACCCAGAAATTTAGTTCCATGAAAAATTGAAGAAACAGTCTCTCAGTTCCTGCCTTTATAAGTTAGCATTTCCTTTGTTAATAAACACTGGCATAAATTGTGCATCAGTTGCAACTGCGGTTGGCACATATCTTTAGCCAAATTGAAACATTTAATGAGGCAGGATGCTTATATTTCATGTTGTCAGCATTCTGTGTTGGTCAACATCTTGGGCACTGTGGTAGCAATTACACATAACTACAGACATACCTCAGACATTCCCTTTTGGCTGTAAACACATTTTTTCTGACTTTGTTGACCCCTAACTAACATTTCCCACAACCAATGTTGGCCTATTTATGTTTTGGACCACAATCTATTGATTATACCCTCTCCAAGATGATGAAATTTTGCCATGAAACCTTCGGGAGACATTGAGATATCTCCTTACCATTTCAAGTCTCCCAAAGGAAAATTATGACTATGATATCTCCCTGTAGAGAGTACTTCGGTTGAACACATCACAGCACACAATCGCTACAAAAAGTTTTTTTAGACTAAGATTATTAAAAATTATTATTACAGGTAGTCATGGCAAACCCTCTGCAAACCTGCGGCTGACTGAACAGCGTGGCTGTGACAAGGCAAAAAGGAATGTTGCATCTAGGACTATCCCTAGGAATCATTGAGGAGGTTCAGAAATTGGAAACTCTTTGACTGACCTGTTCACCCCTGTAGATGACATACTCCGAGTAGGCCAGACCACCGGAACTGGGCCGGCCAATGACCGAGTGGTGACCAGGTGGAGCATGGGCCATCTTCATTGCACTGAACTGAAGGAAGGCCTTGCCCAGAGTCACTCGACAGAATATGATTTGCCTGAGAGAGAACGACAAACGATGCACGGTAACGGCGCATCTCTGCAAAGCGGACACTTCTACAATGGGTCACTTTCATATTCCAATAGAGTATGCCCAGATCGAAGCGCGTCCAAGCTCACTGGGAAACAGAACACGCACACACAGCTTCTGCCCAGTCCTACGCCTACTAGCATACGTACTCTTTGCTCGAATGACCTTGTCTTTTGGAAATGCCAAACTGGGTCGTTATAACACCTCACCCATAGATTCTGTGTCTTTACTGGCCATGAACTAGTCAGATGGCATTCACTTATTTTGGTCTCTTGCCGTGCACAACCAAAAGTTCGTAGCAACTGAAGTAAGACACACATAACAACCAGTTGTGCATAAAAATGCAAACAAGTGTGCAAACCATTCAATGCAGAGGGATTTTGGATATGTACTTGGTAATTTCCAACAAATTTCATATTCAAATAGAAGTGTATGTTAATTGTATTTTAGATTAACCACAGAGAGGCTAGTTTAATAACATCACTCCAAGTAGTTGGTATTGGCATCGTATTGGCATGCACCTTCCATGCTAATTCAGGTAACCTCCCCCCCCTCATCAATCTTCATCAAATGTATCTCCCGGTAAGCCTCAACGCTCCACTACTCACCGATGGCAGACATAGCAGGACCTGTCCTTGTGGGCGGGGCATCCTGTCCCACCTCCTATCCCGTACACGTACTGGTTGCTCTTGGACGAGTCCTCGGCAAAGTAGATGCCGGCCCCAAACATGCCGCCGATGTAGGCATGACGCTCGTCAAAGCCTTTGTTGACGATAGCATTGATGAACGGCGACCCTGGAACAGGTGAAACGAGCATAATGAGGCTTGCTCCAGACCACCTCACAGACATGACAGAAAGTGAAACTAGAGGAACATCTCATGTCCGTTGCTTGTTGACAATTAAATGCAGGTCTAACATCCCTACTGAAACATTACTTTGCCAGGAAATCACACACGAGACATCTATGCAGCAGTTTAACCCCTTGACACCGGGACTTTTTTCTGAAAGCTGACTCCAAGAATTTCAGCCTCGCTTGGCCACGAAGGCCACCTGCCACACTGCAAATTCTCGGTTTGTGGCCCTGCGTGCTCTGCACGCTTTGATTTGCATAGTGAAAAGGCTCACTGTTCGGTGGCATGCGGCTCTACTTACGCTTCATCATTCCCGTTGTCTCTTTTAAAGTGGGGACTATTGTGAAGCACTGTTTCCAACACGTATCCACATGCAAACAAACAGTGCAGTCACCTCTACACAGACTGCCAAAAATACATTCAAGTGCATGTATGCTTTCATGATCATTGAGTAAAAATCCCCAAATGAAAGCACAGTGTCAGTATCAGCTGGCATATGATGACTAAACTCACCAGTCAGGATTGAATTTTACTTCAGCGATAATAAGGTGAAGTCAGACTGTCCAAGGCCACCCGCACTCAGTACAGGGCTCTTTTCAATTATTTCTGACATACAGGGATCTGTTGATTTAGTTTAAAGGGTTCCTATTATCAGGGAATACACAAACTATCCTATTTCTTTCCAGGACATTCCAGGTCATCCCATGGAATGCATGGCCATTCTCCATACACTTCCTGGATCTTCCCATTTTTCCGGTGCACAACCGGCACTGCCCATCCTACCGTGGAACAGCATCCTCTCGTTGTCGTGGCCGTGGTTCTCATCGGCCACCTCCTTCTTGCGGTGCAGGTAGCGATCCCACAGCTTCTTGTTGCGCACCTTCTGCGCCTTGATGATGTTGTACCTGCTGAAGATGCCTCCGGCTTGGCCGTTGTCCCGGTGCTCCCGCACCGTGTTCTGCATCTGTGTGGTTGAAGTTGAATATTATTAAACTAACCCACCCCTCTAGGTGTACTTTTAAGGCACCTCCCTATTCCAAAATGAACTATTATTTTCGGCTGAAAATACCAACTTTTGTAACAACAACAAAACACACAGTACTTTAGAAAGTTGGACTTACACATGCTATCCTTATTTGGTGATCATGTTTTTTACAAGACTTCTGCAACATTTCTAACTGCATCATTGCTTTTTTGAAACCCCGCGGCAAAGTCACGGATTGATATTTGCTACAATGGCTTGCCGTGGTCCAAGATTTTGGTCTGTTCTTACCTCCATTACCACCGACTGGTACTCCTTATCATCCACGGCCAGGTCGATCAGTATGGAGCCCTGGTTACCGTGGACGCTCAGGTGGGGGTTGGGGGTGATGCTACCCCCCGTCAGCCGCTCCATGCCCTTGATGATCTTGTGGCGGTGGCCGTAGGCATTGATGCCGATCTCTTTGAGTTCCTCGTGGCCCATGTCTACCAAAATATCCATAGAGATCTGCAGCAAGCAAACAATTCAGATCATGTTTGAGAACAAAATGCTCCCTTTTCCCTGTATCTTCACAACACTTCCTTTCGCGCACAGCTGACATTCTGAAGTCTTTCTCTCATCCATTTTTATGTGTCTACTCCAAAACCACCTACTGTGTTTGTGGATTTCCCTAGCACCGCCCCCTTTTAGGAGACCCAACCTGAAGGATCTTTGCCCACAATTTTCCTCACTGGCCTGGCTATTTACCGGAAATCTTCACAATCTGTCATTGTCACAAATCTCCACTTCAAACCTTTTTACAAAAGAAAATAAAAATGTGATTTCTTCACTTATTTCTGAGGTTCGGTTGACAGACAGCAATGCAATATTTCTGCTGTGGCCTAATTATTGAATTGCTGTCTGGCTTTGTGTCTAAGAAAGAGACCTTACACTTGAGAAAAAAAAAACAGACCGTTCTTTTTTAAAAGAGTAACACCACAGAATCAATGGACACTGCAATGGGGCACAAAACCAGTGTTTCTCTGGTGCTTTTACATTTTGGCCATGCCTTGAGCACTCCATAACCTGTTCTTCGTGTGTGTCAGTATGGAGGCTATGGCTGGTCTGAAACCAGAGAGTGATTACTATTTCTGAATAAAAGTCAATGTCCATTTTAATGTCAAAACTGACGGGTAAATTTTGTTCCGTCAATGATTGCCTGTAGGCGGTAAGAACAACCTTGTAAGACCATGACGCGCTCTAATGCTTCATTCAATCTACAGCCTGATTGCTTGTTCATGTGCGGAATATTCCTGAGTGCTGAAATAATTGCGGACATTTATAACCATTGGAGAAATACTAACACAGCCTGAGCCCTTTAATTCATTTTGTGTCACATACTTTTTGATAATGTGACTCATTACTCTAGTGTTCACTGCAAGTTAACTTGTGTGCATTCACAGAATGTTGGTTCTAAAATCCATCTTGCCAACAAAGCTTGATGTTAAAACTGTTGGCTGGAATAATTTCCTCACCAGTTCCTTCTCAAAGATGTCTCTGAGATGGTCCAGCTGAATGGATCTCAGGAAGCTGCCGATGCTGATGTCCAGTGGATTTCCCGCCCCCTCGATGGACCCGCTGTCTGCCGCACCGTCCCCAGTCTGCGATGTCGATGTCACTGCGGGCTTGGCGGTTGCCGCCCCCACCGGCGCTGGTGTCCCCACCCCCACACCCCCTACCGCCCCCTGGGGGCCGTCCACCTCGTCCGAAGCCACTCCTGTGCCAGGCCGGCGGGTGGAGGGTGCAGGTACCAGGGCTGAGGTGTTGACAGGTGGGGCCGGAGAGGCGTGGCCCCTGGCAACAGCCAGGGCAGTCCCCTGGGGCATGGCGTCCAGGAGGAGGGAACGCACGTCCTCGGCTGTGGCCAGGTCCAGGGGTGTTTGGCCCTCTTGGTTAGTCATGGCAGGGTCAGCACCATGGGCAAGCTATTAGGAAGGACAGAAAGTGGAGAATTCCACATTCTTATAATACTTATTGTAGCCCTTATCAAAAGAAGGTTTAGGGGTTAAAAGAGACGGTTGATGTGAGTGGCTCCTTGACTAAAACCAGCTATTTTGTAAACATTCCTCAGAAATTTTGGTTGTTAGTACAGATGGAGTTAACAACCAACTATTCAAAGATATACGCTTGCGCGTACACCACAGAATCAATCTCTTTTTTTAAGAGCTGTGGTTCTTAGAAGAACCAGTGAGCGTTAACTCGACGTTTTGGCCAGGATACCCTGCCGTCCAGTCTCCATTGATTCCATGGTGTACCTGCAAGCCTATATCTCATGTAATTTCCACCATGCAAAGCTTCAAATCTTACTCAATCATTCCAAAACATGGTTTACATGTACTCCACCAGCACTCCTGAATTTCTACTTTAAATAGACGTCATGTGCACAAATGCACATACACATGTCCTCTTTAACCAAGTGCCTTGCCGAAGAAACACACTTCTAAGCCCAATGGCTACATACTCCAACCCACAACTCATTCAGTCCGTTAAGGGATCTGGAGATCCAGGCCAATGATGGTTTGGGATGGTCAACAACAAATGCATCTTACCAGTAAAGCACAGAGTTGTGTTCGGCCCTTCTGAGCTGCCTCGTGCAAAGGGGTGAAGTTCCACCTGTCCACGGCATTGACGCAGGTGTTGTGCTTGATGAGCAATGAGGCGATATCTAAGTGCTGTGAACCCAAACAGCATAAACCAAATGGAAAAGTTGTAGAGCTTCAAAGAGACAGATCAGACCTGCAAAAAGTGTTTCTGGGGTTGGTCATTGACCCTAAAAGCCCAAGCACTGTTAGTGGTATCCATCCCCAATCACACAGATTCCAACAGTACTCTTGCTGCAACAGTACCCAACCAGACAAACTCCAACAGGTCTTTACCTGTGTGATTTTGTTTGATTGGGTACAGCAGGCCCATTGCACAGTACAAAGAGTAAGGACAGGCAGTACCTAATCAAACAAACTAATACACCATCATTCTGCATATATCCATTCCCAACTGCTGGAATCATTGTGGTCAGAAACAAGGAAGATTGTCCTGTTATGGTCATTATTACAGAATATTAAATACTTACCATTTCAACGGGAAGATTTATATCATTAAATAATTTTTGAAAACACAGTACTCATTTAAAAGTGCTGATGGTAGAAAGTGACGGCAAAAAGTGAGAGGGCCACAGTTCCCATTCAGTCAAAATTCAACAGGGTAAGTGCAGGCTGACAGTACCTATTTATTTAGCCAAAATCCAACACCATGTAGCAAGTTCCCAGTGCCTAATTCCACAAATTCAAATACTGGTGTTAAACTTTGACTGGTTAGGGATTGTCACGGTTACAGTGTGTTGCCAAATGCATACCTCTGGGTTTTGATATGTACATGAATCAACCCGAAATGGGTTGACACAAAACATTCTGTGAGCAGCACAATATTTTCCCAGTTGTTACGTCTTACTCAAGGAAACAAGACAAGCACACCATGTCTTTGAGGCCCATTTAAGAGGACTGAATCCCCATCAAGAGACAGCAACCTTGACACAATGGTCACAGAGAAATGTAAAACGGTCTTTCACTTCTTTACCACATCTGACTTCCGTAGAATATCTTTCCACAAAATGAAACTCTAAGTGTCTTCGATTTAAAACCATCTGATTTGGCTCCACGCCAGAAACATGCTGGAGTTGTCACGTACCCCATAAGACGATGCGTTATGCAAAGGTATCAATCCACCTTTGTCTCTGGCGTTTACATCAGCACCGTGTTCTAGTAAGTAGTCTGCCACCTCCACATTGTTGTATCCGGCTGAAAAAATTGACAGGGTGAGCCCAGTTCAATGATCTGTCTGTGAACTTTGTACACATTTCACATTAAGCACTGCGCTGTTATAATCTAAACTCACACGTGAGTACCTTTCCACACTTTTACTCTTTCAACTCTGGGTTGGTTCAACTCCAACCCAACGGTTGCAGTACTCTTAATTTCCTGCACCTGCGCTCGTAGGTAGTGCTTGTTACAAAGTACAAGAGCACTCAAAGAGAACAGCTTATTCCAGCTGCCACCATGCTGGGATCCTGGTCTATTTTCTGAACAAGTAAACCAAATGTTGCAAGTCAAATGTGTTCATTTCGTCACACCCAGCAGACCAGTGGATGTGTAATAAAGGAAAACGAAATATTTGGGAAGATGAGAGAATTCCTTGTGACGCCACAAAAATAGATCTCCTGTTTCAGGTCTCCGCACTCCTCGGTTTCAACCAGCAAAAAAGCCAACTTATCTCTTCGCTTCTCTGGAAGACACCTACCAGCCAAGTGGAGCGGTGTGGAGTTCCTGCCCTGGGAGTCTCGGCAGTTGATGTTGTCGGGGCTGACCAGCTTCTGCACCCGGGCCAGGTTGCCCTTCTTGGCGGCCTCCAGCAAGGCGGCATCCCCTCTCAGCAGGTCCTGCACGTCCTGGTCCCCTTCCTTGACCAGATCCAGGGCGGTGTGGCCATCCCGGTTCTTCTTCTCTGGGTCGGCACCATGCTGGAGACGACATTTTTGGGTGGGGGGAGAAAGTGGGAAATCCCATTCAGACTGCAAAACTTAAATGCCATCCAACAGGGGCAGTTTACGATACCCTCTGCAACAGAATATCACTTTTGCTAACTGACACTTCAATATTAGTTACTAACTGATGTTTAGGAGGTTTCAAACAATTAAATTGAACACCTTGCATTCCCAACATTTTCAAACATTAACCAACATCAGAAGTGGCATATCCAGGTTTTGTGTGTGCGGGAGAGAATACTGAATCATATTCATGTGTAAGAGAATCCTCATCTTCCATCCTAAGACAGGTAGTCTAGTACAATTTCTAAAGCATTGGCACTTTCAATTCCTGAGAAATAACATGTCTTGGGGGTACTGTTTCCCACACCCCCCCCCACTTGATAAGCCACTGAGCCTCCAAGAACTTTAAGACTCTGTCCTACTGAAGTGTGACTTTATGTCTGGATTTGTACATAATACAATGATTGCTAGGACTGTACTGAGCAACATCACAAACCACGTTTCTAGACTAAGTCTTCTATGATGTATTGTTCAATCTAATCAGAGTAATTAAGCACACTGTACCATTTCTAGAATGAATTGTCAGACTTCCATGACGTGTGGCTACTGTGCACATAGATTTGGGTACAAAGCTGCAAGGTTGCACTGAATTTTTCCAATACAACTAATCAATCAACGTCGAAGACTTGTTTACCTTAAGTAGTAATTTGCAGATTTCGTATTTGCCCTTGGCGGCTGCCTCGTGTAGCGGTGTGAACTTCCAGAGATCAGCTGCATTGACGACAGCACCATGCTTGATCAGTAGCTCTGACACCTCGTAGTGGCCAAAGGAACAGGCATTGTGCAAGGGAACTAGACCACTGCAAACAATCACACATAAAGATCCTAGGTTTATCCTAAAAAAGTTAGCATCTTTTAAGGACTCAGTGATATGTATAATCTGGAAACTCCCCCCAAATAAAATTGATGCAGAAGCAAGTTTTTGGTCAAGGTTCAACTCCCTTGTACAAAATGCATTAAAAACCCACTCGGGACAGCCAAACTGCAAGACTGAAGGAAATGAGATGGAAGTACTAAAAACGAAAATTCATTTGCAGCACCAGGCAAACATATGCTTTCCATATTTAACATCAAAGTAGATAAGATTTTCTCCAGAACAATGACTGCAGAAGTAAAAAAAAAAGAGCATGTTCCGGACAGTTTCCTTTCTAACAGCTACAAATGAACTGAAATAATAAAGCCCTGTATCCATGATGCCCACAATTTGTTTACATGCTCCATAGGAAAGTACATGCGTGTACAAAGTGTGACGTGTGCAGTTCACGGGCCTATTACTGCGAGGCACAGTATGCACAAAATGGCGTTACATTCAACTGACCACGTTGGTGTGACTGGTGAGAATCTCATCTGGTGCCCAGTGCACCGGTCAAATTCTTACCCTTTGTCCTTGGCGTGAACATAGGCCCCGTGCTGCAGGAGATAATCCACCACAGCGACCCGGTTGTAGCCGGCCGCAAAATGCAGAGGTGTGGAGTGCCTGCCCTCCTTGTCTCGACAGTTGACAATGTGTGGGTTCCTTGACACCAGAGCCTGAATGTGACCAATGCAATGACAAACATCAGAATGGCATTCAAAGATAAAACTGGAGGTCTCAAAAGAGGATCTCAAAACCACTCCATCAAATGATGAATGTCCCACATTTTCAACATGCACGGTGCACAAGGGGGAAAGTAGACTTCATTTATAAAGCAGAATCAGACCAGCTTCAAGGGTATGGTGCATCTCCACTCAGTCAGGGTGAAATTTACACCAGCTAGGTCTCAGGGTGATATCTGGTTTTGCCCAGTGACTGATGTCACTTTTTACAGATGCCAAGTGCATCTGTAATCTGGATTTCAGATTTACGTGGAGTGCATCAGCTGCGCTGTATTTCCAAGATATCTGGATCAATAATGAGTGTGAGTATAGAACATCTGCTCACGGTGCACACGCTCACACTCAAGCAGTGCACATTCAAATTACAATGATCCCACTGTTCTGTGCTCTGACAGATTCCCTAAAACTACTCTAATAACAACAAACAGACATGTTTTGGCAAGTGATGCATTTACCTGGATGTTTTCCAAGTCACCAGCCTTGGCGTATTCTAAGAACTCTGTGCTCTCGTCCACAGCATTCAACCTTTGTTCAACTGCACACAAACAGCAACGTATACTGAAGTTACAAAATAGCTGTCATGCTTTAAAGCAACACTTAAAGTGCACTTTGTAAATCTTACTGATGCTGACAGAGAACCCAGGCCCGTAAGCTGGGGGGTTTGGGGGGGTTTGAACGAACCTCCCCCCCCCCCGCTCACTTCTGAGTTCCGCTTGTTGGTTTGGTTTTTTTTTGGTAATAAATATATGATATTAATATGAAACAATTTTCGGAATGTAAGCCACGGTATATATATTGATTCTCATGCAGAAAATATCTCTGCGATTTATAATGACCTGCAGGCAGTTTATGCCGCAACATGTAAAGAATGAAATCAGTCACTAAACGCTGCTCCATGCCTCAGCGCAGCCTAACCCGGGCCGCCGCGACAGACCAGCCACGCGTACCCAGCGGCGTGGTGCAGCGTTCCGGTCACAGGAACAAGGCAGTCATGTCTTCATTGGTTGCCGTTTACTACTCACGTGTTGGAAATGAAGGAAACCAGTCCAGAAAGACTGAATAGACTTGTAAATGCCCTGTAAGTACCATTCGCACCTCACATATTGTGTGGTATGTCTGTTCATTTTTGTCTGTTATGGTGGTGTAATCCATGTTGTTTATCATTTCACTGGTCTTAAAAAGAACAGCTGCATGGCCCACCCAGCGAGGACTCGGGACACTAATCCAGTCCACTAAAATTGGTATTTTCGAGGACTCGACAAAGTTTAGGTGTAATGAAAACACTCGTTCATGCGCTGCTTCACATTACAATTGAAGAATGCGCACCGGAAAGTGGCGTAGACCCTGTGGGCAAATTGGGAAATTTCACTTCTAACATTTGTGTATGAAGCAATATTTTCTCTCTGATTTCACAAAAGATGAAATTTGAGAGAAACTCCAAATATTTTGATTCATAAATGTCCATTTCATATACCTGCTACAAAGTTCAATGACATGTTAATTTGGTCCGATTTTCCATTTTTTTCGAAGTGCAAAATGAAATACTTTTTTTACCATTTTTAGTTAGGTGAGTGGAGGTAATAATGATTTACTAGAATGTATCACTTTTTTAGAACTGAAGAAATTTTTTGTGGGATTTTCTGAAATTACATTAATAATAATGTTCATATCATTCACTCGCCATCACCCAGCACGGTCAACTTTGAAAGATGGGGGAGGGGATATCATCAAGGTTGCACCTTGTATGATCTTCTGCACGCCCTCAGAGGCCAGCTGTACCGGGGTGAAGCCCTGCAATGATAACACCGTGGTGTCGGCACCATAAGACAGCAAGAGACGGCAGGCCTCTGGTATGTCTTCGCGGGCCGCACGGTGGAGTGGGGTCTGGCCCATATTGTCTGTTGAATTCACCTTGGGGGAAAACAAATATAGGACAAATTCAACATGGATTAAATCTAAAGCAATGTGGGGATTGAGGGACGGAGAAAAATGGACAGAACATCCAACAGAGCGGTTGGAACAAGAATGTACTGTGATTTTTAGGGGCTTTTGGCCCTGGCTACCCAGTATTCATCAAAAGTCAGTCGACTTAGTCCAAGAGGCCTGAAGCACTGCCAAGGCATTTTGTCACAGCAACAGCACTGATGATGCTATATAAGCAGTGTGTAATCTCCCGAGGACTCTTAGCATTCTTGCTCAAAATCTTGTCAGTCCAGAAGGACCGCGGTATCTACCCACCTTCGCTCCATTTTCAAGGAAGAGTTCCATGACCTCTACGTAACCCTTGTCTGTTGCAACATGGAGTGGCGTCAGACCTCTGTGTTGTCAAAATTAAGAAAAATCCTCGGCAATTGACAGTAAAAAACTGAGAGGAGAAGCTGGTAGTTTCCATAAACAGTAGTGAAGTCTGGGTCACATTCTAGTTTTTGGAGTTGATGTTCTAGAGATCTTTTAAATGTTGTTTTGACACATAAACGTTCATTGCAATTCACTTTTTAAATTAAATAAATAAAATACAAACCACTTTTTTATGTTTTAGGGACTTTTTGACTTTAAATAAAGAGAAAAAAGCTGAAGCCATGGCGTCAAATTTGAATAGAGCAAGTCTTGCCAACCCTGAAGCTAAATTTTGATTGAGTAGTCTTCTGTGTGGTGAGCATCCCAAAATGCCTCAGCCAAAGCATACACTTCACAAGAATCTCAGTACTCTATCCAATTCGCACCCCAACATTTCCCTCAAAGATTAACTTCAAACACTGTGGAAGCAGTTTGATGGAGTAGCGTACCGCGCATGGAAAAGCCGGCAAGCACAAGGGTGCTCATGCAGGGAAGACTGGCCTCTGTGCTTCAAGGATGGCTTGGAATGTAAATCTCTGGAGTAAAAAAAGGGCTTGCAGTAACACCATGTGGATGGACCTCTTTTGGAAGAGGTACGGTTCTGTGGACTCCTGAGGACAACCAGAGCATACTGGTCAAAACGTCACCGGTTCTTACCAGAACCACACCTCTTCCAAAAGATATCTACCCACAAGGTGTTACCACAAGCCCTCTCTTAGGTCTTTCTCCACCATGCAAAGCTTCAAGTCCAATCTCTGGAGTGCTATATGCAGAGAATCATTTCTCTCTCAGGGAACTTACTCATTATTTTTATCCAGCACATTAGCACCTTTCTTGATAAGTAACTCCGCCACTTGTCTTCTCTTGGGAAAGACAGACCCAGCTGTGCAGTGCTGATAAATGAGCATTTTACAAGAAATGGTAACTACGGAAAGTAATGCCAAATTAAAGCAAACATTAGGTCTATTTCTTTCAAATTAAAAAAAAAAAAGAAGTGGAAAGTTGGAAATTTGTTCAAATATTCACCAGCGGGCTGTCTAGTGTTTGTGGGTTCTTGAAGTTGACCAAGTCTGGGGCAATTTGTTTCTTGACTCGTGTTACATCAGCTTGCCTGCAAGCCTCTAAGATTGCATTGCCTCGATATTCATCTGAAATACAAATGTAAGTAGAAGAGCAGGTGTTATTGATACAAGTTATTCTTCCATTTTGTTTTATGATTTTGTAAGACAGCGCAATCATTGTGCTCCATCCCCACATAAGGAACTTACTTTTTAACTATTTTGTACAATTTTGTAAAGGTAACAAATTCAAAGTACCACATGCCCATTTTCAATTTGTCAAAGCAATGCCACAAACTGTGCAGAATCTAAAACTCTAAAAGCTCTTTTTAAAAATCTTTTTAATGACAGTAAAATCTCTTAATGTGATCAGAGCACTTGTGGTCTCTTTTTGCAGAAGCATCTACTAACGGGATGCAGTTGAGGGAGAGTAGAAAATTTAAATGTTACAATTCATATTCATTGCAAGAAGATTTGAAATCAAAGCTCTTCTGTGCGACCACGACATGTATCATTTTCACGTGTGAAAGGAATGGAAAAAGTCACAAGTAATTCATCTTGTAAATGACATTTACTAGCTTGATGTAATACCAATACACAAATTACAAAAAACTGACAACTATTAAGTTTAGTTCTGGTTCAGATACTGGTAACAGATTTGGTGAATGCTTTAAGTTCACCATTCTTACTTCAACCTTTAAAGATCGCTAGAGTGGATAGCAATGGGAGGACAGGGAGAGTACATGCAAGGCCTTGGGCGAGATGAGAATATCAAGAAAGGTTTCTGCTAGGCTCCATGGCTTGAATGAAACAGCTCCAGGTCATGGTTGGTTCCATTACTTGAACTCACATTGCAACATCTCCTTGAGTTCTTTTGTCGGTGTGACGTCGATTGCACTCTTGGAATGACAGTTGACTATGTGAGGATCTGCACCGTGGCTCAGTAGCAGGGAGCACACCTCAAGCCTGGGAGGAGATGACGGGGGAGATGTACCGGATGGTTTTAAACACCAAAAAGTATTTCTATAGGAGTGATTGACAATACAGTGTGCCACCGAAAGGCCATATGAATATCACCGAGATTCAGCGTGAAGACAAAACATCATTTCTACAAATCTGCTGCAAAATTCTGATTGGAAATTTCGCGCGAGATTGACAATGAGTTGATTTCAGAGGATTTAAAGTCCATCTGCATTTGGGCAGTACCACACGTAAACAGTAAAGGATGGGAGGTTGTCTGATGCTAATAATAATGTGACGGGGACAAAGTCATCCTTCTGGTCACATGCTTGGTGGGCGGGCACTGTCTTGTGGATCTCTCATTCATGTCCCGTTTGTTCTTATTGTGAAGCTGTATTCAAATAGGCAATGAGCACTCAGGATTCATTTACAAGAACAAAGCAAGGGAGCTTTGGATGACGAGGTCATACTGGTCTCATGCTGCGTTCAACTCCAGATTTTGTTTACTGATTGCTACCGGCGTGCATGTCCAATAACCAACTGAGCTTCCTTAGAACTCTTGGCATGAGAGAAATGTAACTAAGCATGGGCACGGGCTGTGAGTAGCTACACACTGTCTCACGTGGATCTACTCGGAGAGAGCCAGTAACGGATGCAACATGTGTGCGCAAAGTAACTTCGAGCAAAGGGACTCAATTTTGAAGGATTGAGCACAATTCTAGACCATCTTGATGGAAAAAAAATGCAGTTATACTGTGCCGTTTTCTGCTTCTAGTTTGACAAAATGCAGAGCAGGTATGGATGGATGTAACCCATGCCCAATAGCGGTGCTGAAAAATACCACATCACGATTCTGTGGATTCAAAACTCATTTACAGTGGCAGGGGTCTCACCTTGTTTTGGAGGCAGCCTCATGCAGTGGCGTGAACTTCCACAGGTCCATTGCGTTGACGTTAGCACCATGCTTGATAAGTAGCTCTGTCACCTCAAAGTGGCCATAGGAGCATGCATTGTGCAAGGGAACCAGACCACTACAAGGAAATTAGCAAGAACAAAATTCTTTATTTTGAATCTTTTGCTCTTCATCATTTCTTCACTGTTACACATTGAGATGAGACAATCAGCATGTTGGAATGATCACTGTCCTTGCACTCTGACATATCACAATGCAGCCGAATCACAGTATGATCTTGTTACAAATAAAACTTTAACCCTAAAAGACCCACAGTTTTTCGGACCCATACACAGGTGGATTTCTCCTCCCCCAAGAACTCGGCTGTCAAATGCCCATTCGTTTTGAAACTTGGCAGCACTTTTGAACGGAACTCCAACTCACCCTTTGTCTTTGGCGTGGACGTCAGCACCGTGCTGTAACAAGAGCTGGACAATGGAAACACGATTGTAGCCAGCAGCCAGATGAAGAGGGGTTGACTGAAACAAAGCATTGCGCAAACAGATGACGACATGGTTAGAAATGACACTCCTTCTCCGAAGTCTCTTGGTAGAATTTTTTCCCAGCAACCTTGTTCAGTCACTGACCACCGAGCCACGGCTTATATTCTGAAAACTATGGTACTCCCTGACAATGCCATACAGTCCCCTCGTTCTTCATGATTTATTGCTCTGGATGACGTTTCTTTTAATAAGGAATGTCTGAAGACCATTCAGTAACGGCTGACCCAGTATTCCAAAACAAGAAGTTGCATCCAGAGAGCCTGTGCATCTAACAAACAAGCGTGATCAAAGATCTGGAAGAGGAATCAACAGGCCTTCATTTAACTACAGCCTTCCTCAATCCTCTGGACAATTTTTGGAGGATTGAAACTGAATGGTAAAAAAAATGCGTCTGGTCGCCAAGGGTGGACTGTGTCAAGGGGTCTTGGGTTAGACTTTTTGCTGTTTATGCTCAGCCGTGAATACATTCAGGCCCAGAACACGAGTGAAATGATCCGCACTTCTCATCAAACATAATGAGTGGAATGGCGAGGGGATTTGGGGGGAACTGTGACAATGGTCACCTTTCCCAGGAACACATTCAAAAAATAATGGAGTTTGGAGGACTAAGGCAGTATCCAATTTCTACCGGAACATAGTCAAAGGATTTTGAAAGACTGAGGGTGTATCCTAGCTTAAAGGGCCTAAGGGTTAAAAATTCACATTAACCAAAACGCCCAAAGTTGTGTGAACAAAACGTCAAAATAAGAGGGTTGAGGACTACGGGGGTTGAGAAACTCTTAGCTTATTCTGCGTACCCGCCTCCCATCACTAGCATGGCAGTTGACATTGAGGGGTGTAATCAGTCCCGTCAGCTTCTCTTCATTGCCGCTGCGTGCCGCTTCCAAGAGTTCGTCCTTCTTGTACTCCCCCAACAGCACCTGTTTGGCGGGCGGATCGGCCAGGTCCAGGGCCGTCTTGCCATCTGTGTTCCTGATGTTAGGGTCGGCACCATTTTGAAGCAAAACTGTGAGGCCAAAATAGACAGGTCTTCTACGTTGCTTCTCAAAATATTTTTTCTTTGTTCATACACGTAGGACACTGGAAACGTAGAGAAATTAACAGTACTGGGACTTGAAATTCAATCAAAGAGGTAACCTGCAGCATGTTGAAGGTTAAATTGGGACAGGGGACTTGCTTTGTATAACACTGCTTCAGAAATGTGAGACGGCTGTAATCATACATGTGTACATCATGTTATCTTTCACGGTTTGACAACTGAAATAAAGGTAATGCATTCTTTTGTTTGAGAAGTATTTATCAAAACAAAGTTCTTGTAACAATCTACCAAGGTTTGTGTTGCAAGCAACCAGTAACCTGTTCAATCAATTAATACATGTACTAGAAGCAAAGCCTGAACTGCAGCATTTTCAGACGAGTCGATTCAATTTGTGCAATTTTCTGTTCAGTATCTTATCTTTTTTACCCTAATCTACGCACACAGCACTCACCAATACAGACATCAATCTTGCCCTTGATTGCTGCCTCGTGGAGTGGTGTGTAGTTCCAATTGTCCCTTGCGTTGGCATCGGCTCCATGCCTGAGCAGTAGGGTCACGACCTCGGCATGACCAAAGGAGCAGGCATTGTGGAGGGGAATCAGTCCCCCATCATCACGCGAATGCACATTGGCGCCATTCTGAAAAAGGAACTCCACCACATCCTTGCGGCCAAACCCTAAAGAATGAAAATTTTGACCCCCCCCAAAAAAAATTTTTAGAATTTATTGAACAAAATAATGTAGCCAATGCATGCAAACAAAGTTCTTTGTTTATAAACTGTGACCAAAATTTGCATGGGCAGCCGAAACTTGCAAACTGGCAGGCTGAAAAAACTGTCTTTGACACAGAAGTAATGCCCAGCAAAAACTTTTCAAGAAAGACGTAATCTCCAATGATTTGTCAACAGGAAATTACACATGTCCATCAAATGACCAACTAATTTCTAGCAAATTTAAAGACCCAATTTTGAGGTTATTTGATATATTTAGGGCTGTTCATGTGAATTCCAGAGATGTCAGAGATGAAGGGTTGTGAGCGTTCCAAAAACCTCCAAGCAAAATTTGCAAAGGAGGGAATGGACTTGGTACACACAGCCCTTGCAATGTATGGTTACGTGTACATGTATGTACATGTACTTCAGATATGATGTCCAAATTTTACCCAGGTCATGTAGTTGCAGCGAAATTACATGTACACAAAATAAGGATGATGGCAAATGCCTGTGGAATTTAGGAAACCAATCATGCCAATGATGCCCTGACTTTCTTCTGGATCAGACATTTGAATTTTAGAGATTTCATTCCATTTAGGGGCCACTCAAGAAAATTTGGAAAAAAAGTCAAAATTTAAACAACATTGAAAATTTTGAGCGGCCCCTTATTAGTGAAGGAAAATACCAAGACAAAGCCTGAACATGTTAAAGTAAAATAAACTGTAAAGCTACAAAAAAAGAAAAAAATGAATATTAACCATGATTGATGTGGTGCTAAAAAGCAACAAGAAATAAAAGCAGTGACCCCCTCAAAAAATATTGAATATGCTTCACTGGAAATTTTAAAAAAAGTTGAAACAAAACACTAGGAACAGACTGACCATATACACGTAGACGGAAATACAAGCCCTAGAACTGAGTTTCGGGGGGGATAGGCCATTTTATTAATGCATCCTGTCCTGGTAACATGGGTCAGCAAAACAAAACAACAGACTGCTAGGCCTAGTCTAGTCTGACATGTTTGAGTAACTTGGACCCTACAAATCGCCTTTTTTAAACATCTGGACATTGTCAGGCGACAGGGAATCCATTGTCAATATGTAGGCTAGCTCTACTGAGTGGAGCATTAGCACTCCTCTTCATCGGATTTTGTACTGGATCGGTCATATTAACGTTATGACTGATCTACTGCAAAATTCGAAAAAGAGGAATATTAGTATGCTCCACTCAGTCATGACATCAGTCGAGCAAGGCCTAGGTAGGTAGGTGTAGGCCAATGAAATATGTTTAAGGTCACCAGTTAATGTCCAAATAAATAGGCCTACAACGAGAATATCATTAGATTTTTGATGTGCAAGTAATTAACTGACAAATGAGTCATCCTGGGCTCCACTAACAATACAAACAACTGTCATGGGTCAGTGGTAAAGTCACAGTGTGTGATGGTCGTGAACATCACGCATGTATGCAGAACTCCCTGAACTTGATCATACCTGCTGCAAAATGGAGCGGGGAACTCTTCCTCCCTGCTGTGTCTTTCGCATTCACGTTGGTAGAATTAGCCAGCTTTTTGACTTTGGATATGTCTCCGTTTCTACAGGCTTCAAACAGCTCGCGGTGTGGTTCATTTGCACCAGTACTTATCGGTAAAAATGAGGAGAGCGCACTGCGCCGTGAAGCCATTTTGACAAAATGTTATTAAAATCTACTCTCGATCTCGTATTATCTCGCACCAATTCGTAAAATCTCGGCTCATCAGACATGTCAGAACAGCAAATAATTGGGATTCTCATAAATAATAAAACTACCTTAATATATTAGAGAATTTTTATCAATCACGTACGTGGTAAAATCACGGAAAAATAACAGTCCTAGTAGGTTAGAACATGGAGGAAGGAAAGAAGAAATACTAATTTTGAAGTTGTGTTGGAGCATTACGCGAACGAAGCTGGCCTACAAATTAATCACGTGATCTGACCTCAAAATGGCGTCAACCGCGGGAAGTTTGGTCAGTGGATTGTCTACTGCTTAATTTGTTGTTTAGGACAAACTATTTTAATGCACGATTTTCTTCTTTTTATTTATTATCTGCAGTCTTAAAAAACGATGAACCATTAGTGACTTAAAATGGCGAGTATTGATGATGATATAAATGAAGAATGGAGCGACGACGAAGTGGAAATGACAGCAGCAGATGTGTTACAGAAACTAGAAGAGGTAGGCATGTCTCCGAGTCCAACAAAAAAATGTGTCGTCATGGATAGTCGTGTCGTTGTTTATTACTACTAATTATTAGCCTGTCGTAATATTTTGTTAAAATGATTAAGCATAATAGATGTCATGCAAAAGTAATGAGTTGTTGAATTATTTTACGTTAGTTTATTTATCACAGAATTTATAAATAGGGGGCCTAGGCCCTAAGTCTAAACTAGGGACATCATGATGATAGTTTCTTTATGTTCTTAAAGGAATGTTTTACTACCACGACCTGACATGCCTGATGACTACAGCATGGAGAAATTTTTATTCTTTAGTGACTACAGTAACCATGGTAACTGTATCACTCAGTCATGTGCCGCAATCAGCATGATCAGTAAAGTCAGTACCCCCAAAACTGTGGGGTCCGACGTCTGCTCCGCTCCCTCGGATGTTAGACCCCACAGTTCTGGGGGGTATAATGTCAGATGAGTCATGTCAATGGATGTGGACATTTATTATCTTGATCGTTTGTTAACATGCTTAATGTAAAGCACAAGATAAATTAAAATAATGGCCTCTCAGTGACCCAGTTAACTCGGTTAGATTGGATTCAACTACCAGAGTGAAAGTCTATTTGAGTGACTATTCTAAGTAAATTTCTCCTTGGCCCTCACTTTACATCCAGGAATCGCAAATGAGCGTGTGTTTCTTTTACGTTCACATTGATTATGTTGATGCCTTAAGCCAATCCTAGAATTAATACAGGGCTCCTTATTACTGGTAATGTTCCATAATTCTACTTTCTAGGGGTAACACTTAATATGTTTGTAGGAAAAGGATTCCACATGCCACTTGACACCTTGTGCACAAACCATATGAGACTGGTCTGAAGAATTCTATTTTCTAAGTGATAACTCAATGCTTTCACTGCTACATTTTATGACATTTTATTGCTTTCGGACACGTCAGATGGGTAATAGGTCCCTGCAGGGCAAAAGTAGTGGCGTCCATATATGGAATTCTTTCCTGTTTAAAAATTACACATACAGTGCATTGCAATTTTTCTTGTCATTTCAACAACCTATTTGTTGATATCATTCGACAACCCATATGATGTTCTTGTTGTGATTTCTAAACACTGGCCTTTATTTTTAATGAATAGTTCATTGTGCCTGGGCATTTATAATTTTTCTTTTGTTTAGGCGTGGTTGAACGAGAAGTTTTCTCCAGATCTCTTAGAGAGTAAGTCTGAGCTGGTAGACTGCATGCTAGAACAGATTCAACAGATGGAGAGCAATATCAGCCGCTGCAAGAAAGGAGACTTCCGTATTATTGTGCATAAGATGGAGGTACCTTGAGCAGGATGATCTTGTCTTGTATGAGACACCCCCACCTCCCGTTAATTCATAAACAGTTTGATTAAAACAGAGTATTTTGTCTTACAACATGAGAAAATGGTGGACCCTTTTCCACCCAAAATTATGCACATTCTGATATAAAGATATAACATAACTTCAGGAGTTACCCTTTTAACAAGGAGCACCTTTTGGAATTGCTAGATTAGTAATGATTATCACTATGTTAAGTCCAATGTCCAGATAGTGCACAAGCATAAACAATTGTAAGTGTAAAGAACATCAAGCTATACCACTGAGTATAAATCTTCTTGCTGTCTTGCCAACTAAACCTTTAGAGTTTCTGCTTAAAGGATCACACTTTGCATGTTATTGTGACTGAATGCCACAAAGCCTTTGAGGAGAAATATGACTTTTGTCAGGTACCTGTTGATGAAAATTGAACGGTTTGTTCGTCCATTTGGCTTTGTACCTTGTTGTTATTGTTTGTTCTCAGATTGACAGGATCAGGTACATTTTGAGCAGCTACTTGAGGATACGATTGGGAAAGGTGAGTTAAAAGCTGTTCAGTTTTTGATGTTGCAGTGCTACTAGGAAATGATATCAACCGGCAGAGAAAGACCTTGTTTTCAGAGAAAGACAGTCAATTTTTCTTGAATTTCTGCTCTTATGACTCAAACTTGCTTCTGTCCTAATCACAGCAAAACAAGGGCCGTCATTTTGAATTTCTTTCTGCAACACTTGCAGATTGAAAAGTATTTCCATAACATTTTGAAGAAAGAAGCAGCGAGGAAGGATGACGAACCATCCAGGTTATCACAGGAAGAGTTTGCCTTTGCCAAAGAGTAAGTTTGAAGGAAAAATGAAGATTCTGGGACAAGAATAGTGTTGACATTGGGACATTGTCTTTTCTAGTGCATGCTGATATCAGTCCCCAATTATTCCTCTTATTTCTTTATTTTCTTGAATGCACATCTGTGAAGGATTGTAATTTGAGAAAAAAAAAGCTGTCCAAGTGATCACCAACATCACTAGCTGTTTCTTATATTGAGAACCTTATTTCCGGGATGGTTTTTGTGAAAGGCTTTCTGAATCCACCAAACTTAATGATACATTCTTTGTGCTAAAGCAAAATTGAGTCAGCAAGGCTTTGTACGGCTAAATTGTGGGATACAGGCACATTTTAGAGTACACTGCAGTTCTGGTTTAAGAGGTTCCGTGATGGGACATCTCCCCTCAAATAAAAATAGTTTGGTTATGATTATACATTTCATGATTCAACCTGTTACAGAGTGTGGAGTTAGGCCAATACAGTGCACTTGGATGATCAATTTTGTTCTGCTGTAATCAGCTTTTGATCAGACATAATCCAAGGCCTCTTACAGTAGCAATGTCATCAGCACAAGAAATCAGAGTAAAAACACTGACAGAGTTTCACGTTGGGGACATCTTGATATTGCCTAACAGCAGTTTGTCCACTGACATCTGCTTTCTGTGGGACACCTGCCAAAAGTGGTCGAGAAATGTCCAATGTCTGACCGTAATTTTCACACTCTGCTGTTGTACTGCAGGTTTGCCGAGAACACAGACAACCATTTTAAATCAGTTGCCCTGAGGCACATGCCGCCTAACCTACAGGCCCTGGAGCAAGACAAAAGGGGTGAGACAAAGATTAAAAGGCCAAATTTCTGGCACGCTGGACTGCAAAGGGAGAGTCGGTGAAGGGGAAGAACCCGTCACCAAAATATCACAAGACGCATTGAAATTTTGCCTGTAAAGTGTCCTACTCGGTGTCCCTGAAGCTTCTGAGATAGATTCAAACTTCAAGGACCCAAGTCTTGAGCAGGCTACAAGTTCAAGCCAACTTACCCTGAAAAAGGGAATGACTGATTTTTTTTTTCTTTCACATTGTCTGAGCCAATGAGAGCGCTTGTTGCTGCCAGGTTAAAATAGAAATGCATTTGTTTGTCGGTCACATTTACAGTGGCTGTTGAACATGGAAATTTCTCTGAACTGAAGAAATTCTCTTGGGAGAGGAATTTTGTATGTAAGCTTTTCTACCCCCTTGCCTGAACACACACTCATGTTCTCTGTTTAAACATGGTTATATGTTACACAATGTGTGACACAGGCTCACTGATGACGCCTTGGTTTTTCGTTTTTTCTTATTCAACAATGAATCCTTTTCGACAGCCCCTAAGCCAAACCTAGATGCCTATGTATTCCTTCGGGCCAACCAGAAGCAGGAACAAGTTCTCATCGAGCCAGAGTTGGAGGATGACCAAAAGTAAGTCTGCAACAGTTGTGTTAGTCAAGTCCATTACATGTCCATCGCAAGCTTATCCAGTCTCAAGTCACAAGCTATTCATATTAACTGTAATTCATAAATACCGGGGACGATTTTTCTATTCCTGTTGGTCAAAACACGTCATGTGACCGTGTATTAACATTTGATGTTGTTCAAGTAAAAAGATTCTATTGGACAACTTTCAAAAGGAATGTACCGTAAAATGGACGGAGGTGTTTGGGAAAATAAAAGTAAGATTTTAGAACAAAATCGTTGGAAATCCATCACATTGACTTCTTTTGACTCTATGAAAAAAAATTATTTATGAATGGGTATAAAAATGGGCTTGGCCGGTCTTAAACTAATGTTTAAGATCGGCTCAGGAGGCTGAACGCTGATTGATAATGCCCTCGCCTGCAGCTTGGGCATTAGTCGTGTCCATTCGCCTGAGCCTGTAAGCACACAGTTATTCCCTTACAAAAGCATTCATTTGACACTGTTCATTGTGTTACTAGTGACTTAATACAGCAAAAGAGTTGTATAAGGTCTTGTGAATGGCGTCCTTGACTGTGACACTGGTCAATAGCTCACGCGTTGACCGAACAAGAAAAGAACCAGACTTTCACTCACATCTTTTTGTGTTAGGGGTTTCTTTGAAAGACATGCAGAATGCTCCTGTTTCCATTTGGAAATCAACTCTAGTTAAATGTGTCATTTCTTGTGAGAACAAGTGGTGTTTTTGCCAGGTGAATGTGCCTTCCACGTTAAAGAATGCCAGTTATCAAAAAGCTGCCAAGCGGAAAATAATCGTTCAACAAATGTCATGACCTGTGCTAGCAACAGTTGAGGGCCAGTTACAAGAAATGTACATCTGATGAAAATTGAACTGGTGGTCTGCTCTTATATTGCAACTATTGTCTATGCATAGCTTTTTATGTGCGTAGCATTTTCCCGAAGTTGGTCCCAGCTGATGGAATATTTCACATTTTAAATTTCAAAACACCCTTTTTTCCCCAAACATTTCCTTCTCCCTTTTCTTCTGTATCTTTCCTTTATCAGGTTTTGATTGCTAATTTGTCAGCTATGCATGATCACATCGCCTGATTTTGGTTCTGTTTCTAAATTTCAGTGCAGAGGTCATTGACCTGGAGGAAAGCGCACAGTACATCATGAGGTATCAGCCAATTGCATCACTTGTGACTGGCGGAGCCGTCTCGTTAATTTGAACAACCTGTCCGTCCACCACTCTGTTTCAATGCAATGTCTGCAGCCCATGAGCTCGGATTGTTTCCCAAGCCTGCCCGAGATGTGCTTTAAAAGTTTGTCTCCCTCAGGTACCGGCCAGAATTGCACTCCTCTAGAATCTTACTTTTTGTCTCCATCTTCCACATCATCTGATTTTGAGGGTCCCTGACACTGGAGATTCTGGTTCCAGTTTTTCTCATTTTTGTTACAGGAACCTCAAAGTGCATGATACAAAGGCAGGAATAAGAGTCTTTTTCAAAGGTTCTGGTCCTGGCTATGATAAAAACCACAGAAACAACCTTTTAGAAATGCCCATTGTGTCATTGTTATATATGCTATTTGCATCACCTGTTGATGGAGGACTTTTTAAGGGCTTTGCTTTTTGAGTATCAGGAAATGAATAAAAGGTATGCTAATGCCCATCCTGCTGAGCACTAGCATTGCCCTTAGCTGATGCTGTGAATAAGAAAGCAAAGTAACCCCCAAAATCATGTTACGTGTCCCTGACTGCTTTCTGTGGGGAGCCACCTGCAATGTTTTTCTTTTAGTTTTTAACACTGGAAAAAAAGCAAAAAATGTCAACCAACTTCCAACATTAGACTTTCTACTGTCACTTTGCACTTAATACAGTCAATCGTGCAGTCTCCATATGTTTCATAAATCAAATATGTGCCCATGGGTGCGGCTGTGTTGTGATTCTTGTGAAACCTCGCTCCAAGCCTCTAAACAAACGATCAGAACTGCTAGAAATATTTTCAGTTGTATTAGCTCTTTCATTGTTATGTCTTTGAACTGGGGAAACAGAGAATGTAAAACATTGGAAATTTAAAAAAGAATGGTGGTCATGTTGAAAATAAAAACTAGAAGCCGTGCCTCCTCTTTAAAACAAAGCCTGGATGCTAAACATGTTTATATTTTTACTTGGCCAGAAACCTGTAAGAGTACTAATAATACAAATTTATGTAGCATATTTGTACGAAAATTAAGGATCGTCATGTCCAACACTGTATTATTAACCTCCCAGTTGATGGACTTGTGACCATTTGTAAGTCTATCCAGTAAGTGCCCATCAGATGAGGTCCTGTGGGTTTAATCCAACAGAACTGCAAACTTCAAGCAGCACTGCTCTTGCCCGAGATAATGAATATTCAAACAGTGCATGCCCAAAAGGAAGCATATCTAAGGTCATTCAGGAAGAGTAATATGCATGCGTGTGCTTGGTCTTATCCTTGCCTTTTTGAAATGCCAAGCTGGCTTATTCCTGAGGTGAAAGACAAGCATGGTAAATACTGTGCATTCTCTGCCTCTTCAATTCTGTAAGAATGTCAAAAAAAGTAAAACTGAAGCCAAATCTACATTTCCTGCTGGGAACACCTACAAAAAGTACCAAAGTGCTTCAAGCCCATCTGCATAATTTTTCCAACTGAACTTTTGCCTGGCGGTATTGTTTGAAATTATTTATCTCAAAGCAATCTTTGAAATTGTAAATTGTGTTCCAACTTGTACATAGAGTACAGCAAGAGCATTGCACATAAAAAGTTACCGGCATTCACAGAAAAGTTTTTCCATACACGGAAAGCACCATTTCCCCCTCAGCAGTACATGTACAGTATATCAACCATATTTAACAAGGAAAACATTGAAGTTTTCACTTAGAAACAAAATTGTTCAGACCAGTTTCCTAGGGTTTGTGCACATGGGCTTCAGTGATGTCCATGTACATGGAACTCTTCCCACTGGGCTTGCATTCCAAAATGAAATTTATTATCAGTTGTAGGATTGCCATTGATTGTCAGTCTGTTAGAAATGTCAAAAGTACAAGTACATGTATTTTAAATGTTTATTTTAAAGGTAGGCAATTTAGTGTTCCATGTTTGCCTCGTGGTTTGTGAAGGTAATAATAGATAACACAGACGCCTCTTGTTGCTGTGCATGTCAATTTTTTCTTTGTTATAGAGATAATCACTTGCTTTTGGGCATATGATTAGTAAGGGGTATTGCAGCATACCTGTGTACAAAAATTGTTTATTTCTATGGAGTGAATTTTTATTCACTTTCGCCGCCTCTTGACGAAAGTCAACAGGCGGCGCTATTTCGGTCTGAATTTGTACAGTTTTCTATGGGCGCGTATTTGGTGTAGTGCAATCTTATTCGGTTCATAAGTGTGACGTCATTTCAGTTTAAACTACGCCCACAACACATGCACTACACATAGAGTTACATGCATTGATGATCGCAGTTTACATGGAACCGGACCGGAAGTTAACGTGCAATTTCAGCGATCATCCAATGGGATCCTGCAAATCGTTGTGCGTCCGCGCCGCCTTTGTGACGAAGTCACGAACTGGATAATGGAGATCAATCGCGCTTTTGACGATGACGATGACTACGCGTAACGAATAATATATGGTCTTTGCGTACACGCAGAACGCGTGCAAGAACCCACTTGGAAAACTTACAACCATCTGTCTTTCTTTTGCTTGGGGGTGCACTTCAACTCGGGGCGGATTGCAGTTGTCAGACGAAAGGAGGAAAATCGACCTGTACACTTTCCCCTCCCTTCGCAAAAACGAGAGAAATCGATTTTAATCCCATCCTGAGCCATCAGCGTTGCGCCCCCCCCATTGCCGTTCGCGCAAAGATGACAAAAAATTTAACATCGAAAGAGCACCCCTCTAAAGTGTTGGCGGCAGTGAGTGGGTGCAGTCAAGTTTCCTGAATCGGTACGGTACGGGTACTCGGGTAAGGCGTAGATTTACGAGTTCGAGTGATGATTGAATAAAAGACCCGCTGGAAAAAAATGGGGGATTTTTGAACACTGTTTATTCTACTGCGAATTCTTCTTGGAAATTTTAAATTAGATGTTCATTTCCTAAGTATTGGCCCCTGTTCTCTACTTCTTAAGGTTAGATCCCGTATAGCCCCCACCCCACGATGCATGTCGAACTATGGAGCCTGGAAACGACTGCGATTAGTGTAAATCTTGCAGAAGAGAAAAATGACGAGCGTATGTCCAGTCGGACCCGAGCAAGCTTGCGAACAAGACACACTGAAAACTGAAGATCTTCATCCGAGACTAGAAAAAAAAGAGCATCGCGTTGTAACCCCAGAAAATGCAAAATCTTCTGTTTGTTTATTTCTGCTATTTTACCAGGATATCTGACTTTAACTAAAACTTTTCGAACATGCATTCCCTTCACAATATTTTAAGATACATGTATATGTATTATAAAAATCACAAACACTACGCCTGCATTTTATTTCCCATTTTTATGTCAGCGCGTAAAAAATAACAGCTCCATAGCCTGTAAAATGTAACGATGGCTCTGTCAATCATGTCTATGGATACACGACTAGGCAACAGGCAGTTTTTGCTGTCCGTGGTCACGTCGTGACCCAAACTCACTGAAATTCCTACCGGTATCCTTAATCCAAAAGACAAAGTTTGGGTCAGCTGGAACTACCACGATCTAGAAACGTGCGTCGACCAACAAAGGCCCATCAGGGCGAATCCAGTGACAAATTTCGGGGGGGGGAAGATTGTTGTAATGTAATCTTTTATGGCCTTTCTGCTGCTGAAGCTGCATTTAGGGGCTTTAGAAGCTTTTTGAAGGGAGGGGAATGAAATAGATTTTTAAAAAATCACCTTTCACTATTTTTCAGAGGTGGCCAAGTCAAGTCACAAGTTATTTGGTCACAGGGCAAGTCAAGTAAAGTCACAAATTATTTGGTCTAAACACAAGTCAAGTCACAAGTCTCTTTGTCCAAGTACAAGTCAAGCTGCACGTTATTTTTTTCTATGTGTAATAAGCAAAAAGAACTAAGCGGCAACTTACGAAGTCACGAGTTGCGAGTTATAAAAATATATAGGGCCGGTCGAGTTGCGTCTGACTTGGGTTGGTAACAAGTCATTTTTTTTTTTGCAAGTCCAAGTCAAGTCACAAGTCAAAGCAGGTATTTATAAGTCAACTCACAAAAATAGCGACTCGAGTCCGACTCGAGTCCAAGTCACGTGACTCGAATCAGCACCTCTGTTATTTTTCAACAACGATTTTGGCTTTCGGGGTGGGGTCATGGCCCCCGTTGCCTCCGCCTTGTATCCGCCCTTGACGCCCATACAAATAAGGGGATTACTGTCTGGTATGCATCATGTACATGTACATACGTACGTGTACATGATAAGGAGCGACTAACCGCAGACTGGACTGGACATGCGGGCACCGGACCCCAACACCGTGCTGATCCCATGGTCAGCAACCAGCGACCATGTGGACAGCACAGTGTCGTTACAAGGTTATAGGCGCGGGGTTCATGCGTGGTTAAAACATGATCACTCCGTGCTTACATTCACCTTGAGGTGGGCTGCTTTTTTGGTGAACGTACATGGACGTGGTGGGGCAGGTAGAACCAGCGCATGCATATACGTGTACCTGTAAAAATGAAGTCGTAAAAAACACGGTGGCGCGACAAGAGGCCTTTTTTCCGTTCACCAGTTGGCATGCTCTTGTCTAGTCTGATATTGGAGTTTTTATACAGCTCAATGGTCTATGCATGTGCAGTTGTAGGAAATTCTGCTGGTGCCCACAGATTTCCGGTTCCTCTCGGAGGACCGGTAAAACTTTCCCTTTCAGAATCAAATTTTTTTCAATTTGTCCTAATGTTACCAAGTTGTTTTTTTTGGGGGGGGTGCTCATGACGTTAGTTGTTGAACTCACTTTGTTAATTACTGGAGCGGCTTCTTTTAATATTATGTATGCTTGTTTCAGATTGACCATCGGCTCCTGTCCCAACCCAGCCTCCCAGGGAAAACTTTTTCTTGCCATTGACCCTATCTGAGACCCCTGGCAACCTCCATAAATTAAATGACCGAATTAAAGAATAAAATATATATTAACTAAGCAACAAATTCAGGATCTTCGCAATAAGGAAGGTTTTTGGAGATGTCCAATTTTCTGCACAAGGCTGTGCAACGTTTCCGAAATTTGGTATTGAGCGTGGGCAGTCATCCTCGTGCAATCCAGTCTCTAGTAGTACGTCAAATGTCTTTAACGTAATCGATGTGTTCCTTCCTCCATGTTTAAACAGAGCAATTTCTACTTTTGATTTGTTTCCATGAGTCAGAAGGGAAACCTCGATGTTGCCCAACACGTATAATTATGGTTCGAGCACTTTTTATGTACTGTTGCTACGCTGGCACAAAATTACGATTAAAAGCGCAATGGTGAAATTCAACACGACTTGCTCCAGATTGTGACGGACCTTAAAAGTTGTAGTATTGTAAGGGGTGTAAATCAATTTTCATTATATGGCTCGAGATTTTGGTAAATGATGACTAGTTTATATATTGCAGAAAACAATAACAAATTTACACTCGTTTATTTCCCCATGCACTGACTGACTTCTCTTCAAAGAAACAAAATCATGATAGGTTCTCGTATCTAAAAACCCAAAATTCTATCAGCTGGAGCAATCATTTCACGGATGTTGTCCAGCACAGGTGAGTGTACACGCGTCTACTCGCACGACCGGTAGACGGCCGTGATTGGACCATGCTTCAGCGAGCCGACCTGATCCCTCATAGGCCAACGTCTCTGATTGGCCGCTAAAAAAAGCACCACGTGAAACTTCAACCCTGTTGGGGTTACCCTCCTGAAGAAGTTTCAAAACCACTCGGTCATAGGTACATGAAATGCTTGCAAAAATAACACATTTGTTACATTACCCTAGAAGTTAACTTCAGCCGAAAGAGTTGATTTTAGAAATATAAACTGGCCACTGAATTTACAATAAGTTTCTCTACAGATATGTTTTTTTCTATTATAAATAACTAGTTTTTATTGTATTGGAAAGAACCTACCTTCTGGAAAATGGTTGTACCTAACAAGGATGACCTTTCAAGATCATGCGCCGGGCCGGCCGGGGACTACGTGCTTCATCGTTCTGGCCATTCATTAAGCATAAACATGTTCGTCATCCATGATCAAATGTACATGAAGTAAGCCGTTGTTGACTGTTTGTGACCGTAGACTTTGAAAATTGGCATCGTTTATCAAATGTAAGCCAATGCTCAATTCTGCACCAGAACACATCGGATGATTTCGACAGTTAGCCTTACATCAACTGATATTGCTTCCACGATCAAGCTGTTTTCATCAGCCGACAGTTTTGGAGTTTCCGGAAAGGCATGACCAGATGAAAATTCTATTTCTACCTACGTGTGGGCTTAACGGTAGGCTTGACGTTACACATCGATGTGGATGGCCAATCTTTGTAGGCCAACATGGAACTTGCTCAGTGCTAGGCCTGTAAGTGTAAGTGGCCGATTGAAACGGCTCTTTGCATTTGTTAGCTTGTTGCATGCTTGTTGTTTGTTTTGTTAGTAACTCTAACAGGCCTGACGTATTTGTTAACCTAAGCTAGCTTGAGGCTGTAGGCCTCTGCCTAGAAATACCTTAACCTTGGGCCTGTCCCCAGAACTGTGGGGTCCGAACCGCTCCTCACAAGCCCCGCAGAAAGCGAGCCTTTTTCACGTCATGACGTTTAACATGTTTAACAGGGGACGAATAGGGATTTTATTCTGGTTGTGTAGGCCTACCCATAGAAATGCTACTTCAATTCCCCGAGAGTACTATGTAAGATAGCTGACCAAGAAAAAACGGCCAAATCCATGCTGTTTTCCAAAATAGGTGTAAATATTTCCCAATCTGTGTCCAAGAGTCATGTGGTTCACATTGTATGCTTGTAAAGATGAGCTGCAAACGAATGGTTGACTACAGCTGCAATTGATACGCAAGACATGGAATATGGCTGCAGCCGCTTTCCGTACACGTGTGTGCAATTCTTAGCCACGCTGGTTGAAATGGCAGTTGGCTTGCGGCACACTGGGAGTCACACTGACCAATCACAGGCTTCTTCATGATTTATGCCTGAAGTGCAATAATGACAGGCAACAGCCGTTGGTTACCAGTGCACGTGAGCATGCTGTCACCTTGAACGTTTTCTGTCAAGGCCGCATGTGGATGCGGACAGGCAGTGATCTTTGTGTGCATCAACGTTTGAGAACCCATGAGGCTTTTTTTCATTATGCATTAGTTGGTGTACATACCGTACATTGATGGAGAGTACGCATCCATGCAAAGGAAACCAACCTCGAAAGCAGACTAGCTCGAAGTCCGTCTTGCATCATGCTATTTGTACGCGGGAGCACTACGAACTCCCAACTTACTTTGCAGCCACTTTTTAACCATTCCCTATGGGAAAAACAATGATTTTTATGAAAAAGTAGGATGGAAAAGTAGGCAGTGGATGGAAATCCAAGATATTTACTCTCATGGCCTAACAAGGTTTTTAAGTTTGTGGTATTAACCCTAGCCCGAGGGTGTATATAAAATCACTTTGAAATCGGATGATTTGTGACTGTTAGGGTGAATATTATGTCCAATCACAGTGTGACGGTTGGGAAGGTCCTGATTCCACTCAAGAATATTGCTCATTAACCATGTTTACGGTGCTGCATATTCATGGTATTTCAATCTTCTTGTAGGCATGCACGGACACAGTGATAGTCCCCATGAGTTTGGCCTAGAAATTCGCCTTGCAGTATCCTTTCCTTGGCTTGACCACACGTCCACTAATGCCAAATCACTGAGCAAACATTTCCACACGTCCACAAAAGTATGATGGCTGTTTCATGTCAAGCAGAGGAATCACCTGGCATGCCAGGTGGAAGTCAACCCTGCTGATGACGCGGGCTGTGCTGCTCTGGTCATCCTGGTGTAACACCTGCTACCATACATTCATGACGCGCAACAGCCGTCGTAGTTCATTTATGTAAACGTGCAACAGTGCTGACATTTCAGCATGCGTTATCAGGAATGGGTATCAGACTACACTGTTAGTCCTCTCGGATTAATCAGGCATGCTCTGTGTATGGTAGCGATTGACGTACCGAAACGATTGCTTTTGGTCCTTCTAGAATAGAGCAGCCATCATTGTGACCATCATTGTGATCAGTTGATCATTTCCCCACCTCTGTCCCCTTCTTGTATGCAGCCATTGGTTTTGAGCATGTTCACCCATCTCAGATTGTAACTTGTGCCCTCTTCAAGTTGACCTGTTTATACCTGTACCTTGAGAGTGATGTTGGTTCTGTTTGAACATGCTAGTACACTTTGCCCTCAGTTTAACGGCCAGTAATTGTGTGTACCATCTTTGATTTTTGTGCTTGCAGGTTCAAATTCATCAGGATCATTTGGATGTGGTAGAGCACTTGAGTTTAACTGAAGCTACCGTTTGTCTTTTGGGACATGGCATGTGGCCTGCTGACAAGCCCAGCAATGCCGATTGACACCCTCCTCCCTTTGGGCACAAGCCCGCCCCTGCCATCTCTCTACCTGCAGTCAAGGTACACAGCCACCTCCTACATGTACATTTCTGATATATCTGCGGCCGCTAAGGCCCGGCCGGTTGACCGGCGCAAACAGTTGAGGCCCTGTCTCCGGGATGGACAGCAGGCCAGGAGGATGAAAGATGCAGTTGACAATGGCATTGAAACGAATGGGTCAGCAGAAGCATGCTCAGCTCAGAACATATGCGACAGTATCCCCATTGATGGCCTTACCATAGACGACAAGGTAAAGGACGCAGACTATGGTAAGACAGTCAAACAACCACCGAAAAGCAGAAAACGTGTCTGCTTTGCCGACGCTAAGGGCCTAGCTTTAGAGACAGTGCGAGTGATGGACGGCCCCAGCCACGTCCCACCAGTTCTTCATTCACGGATCATGGAGGAGATTGTCCAAGATGAGAAGCCAGAGCTCTTTCACACCTACACCTATGTTGTAGACTTTGAGCAGCCTGCGGCAAACTACCTCGAATTTAGGGACAAGCTAGAGAAGAATTTCATTAGCTTGGAGAACATCGTCATCAAGGATAACGTGGAGGTCATGGGAACCATTAAAGTGAAAAACGTTGCTTTTGAGAAATCTGTCGCAGTTCGAGTCACGTTTGACAAATGGAGGAGCTTCCAAGACATACCAGCATCCTACATTCAGCGCAGCCCATCAGGGCAGGCCGACCGCTACGACAGCTTCTCTTTTTGTTTCAACATCCCCCAGAATAGAGAGGGGGAGAGTATTGAGTTCTGCCTCCGCTATGAATGCCGGGGCCAGTCTTACTGGGACAGCAAGGGCGGAGAGAACTACAAGATCATCTCGCAGCACGAGAAGAGCCTGACGGAGCAGCAGAAGCTGGCGTCCTATTGCAGTCTCAGCAGCCAGGCAAACTGGGGAGACTTCTCTCTCTGGAAGGTGGTCGCAGATGAAAGGCCATACTGGTGACAGAGAGTGAATCAGGGCTCACACTGCTGACGTTGTAGGCAGGGACTTTGGTCTTCTACCTACTACAGCATAGCATAGCATAGGAAAAGTACCTGCTTAAAATGTTTACCTGTGGTAACATAGGGAATCTGTCAAAAGTGATGGTGGATATGAAGCCTTATGTGTCGTCTCAGTGATGTACATGCATACAGAAATATTTTGTCGAGCATTTATTTTGTGGATCATGCAACTCAGTACACAGTGGGCCTAGATTCGTAAATCCACATGCATATGGACTGTAGAGTTTGGAAACTGGAAAGCAATACATGTATGACTTGACAAAGATTATTTTTGAGAAGAAATTTGTTAAAAGATAGAGATTAAATGCATATTTGCATCAGAGGGAGGTTTTATCTTTTTCAAGAATGAATTCTGTAACTGCAGAAAAAATTTCATACCTGCAAGTTTACAAGAGTGAATTTGTATCCGGTTGGAAAGATGGTAGAGAGCTGTCAGAACTTTGGTGTGTACATAGCTGGAAAAGCTACAAATCCACACTAACAAGTAAAATGGCAGGTTTCAAGTTTTATAAGTCACTGCCCAGAGCATGTGAATAAGCTTCAGGAATCAGTATTTTTAGACTGGAGGGGTTTTAAAGAACTATGACTTGTGAATTAATTTACCATACCTTGTACATTGAGAGGTAATTACCACAAATTATCCATGTGATAAATCATACATGTATCAATATTTGTGAAGTAACAGTTCAATTTTCAGGGTTTAATGCAGTGAAAGAAAAGTTTGCTGGAAGTTAGCGATCAGTACCGACTTTACTTTTAACTCATACTTAGGTGATCAGTTCTTAGAGACTTGAGTTTTGCACTGCAACATTCTGTGTTCTCTGTCTGCCTCAGAGAGATGAATATCACCGGTGTCAGTGAACTGGTTAAAAGTGTAGCTGTTGTCTATCAACAGGAAGATTGTGTGGAAATGTTCTTTTGGTGTGATTAACTAACAACATGTATGCCCCATTTCAGTTGCTTGTCATTGTCTTGCAGTTCAATGGATACTTGCATGCAGTTGTTACAGCCGTTGCTCGTGACAATCATTCAGTTTGGTGTGGCAGAGCCATAGTTAAACACATAGCTTCTTGGTGCATTGATGCCGTAATGAGAAGTACATATTGAGCTACGCAGACACTCTCATTACAGAGTTTTAACATCCGCATAGTTTTGTCCATGAGTCTTGCAAGTTCACAAGCATTCTTGCAGCAATACAGTGCATCTCCTTTCTAAACACATGGAGTCACAACAGCTGGGCTGTGTGTTTGTTTCACACGCTCAGTGATCTGTCCTTGGTTTATAGGCACCAAAACTGGCCCAGTGGACGGTGGGAACCAGTGTTGGGATCACTGATCACCATCCAGATCTGTGTGAGACAAACAGACCCCAGCTGTTTTGCTTCCAGATGGTAGCCAATCTAGCCTGGGGTTGATATGTGCATGGAGCTATTAAACATATAATGTGTATAATAGTTCTGTGATATGTGCATGCCCATTATCCTGTTCAGTGACTGTGCCATGTACCTATAACACTGGAAATTTTGATTAGTGGGCTAAATATGCTACTTGGCATTTCAAAACTGCACTCTGTGGGCATGGTTTAACTTGCAACATAACACTTATTAACCGGATTGTTAAGCACAGAGTATTTTGTAACGTACATAAAATGAAATGTTTGTTATTTCAGAACCAAAGACATGTACCTGTATGTAACCTGGCAAATCATGTCGGGGGAGGGGGGTGTTGTACAAAACTTGAGAGAAAAGAATCTGATATTTTTCTGGTGACATTTTTTGTTCTGAAAGGGCCAAATCCATGAATGTTTGAGCTTGTGCAATGTTATAGAGATGTGCTTCAAATGGGGTTGTTGGCTTTTTGCTCACTATCTCTACATGTCTTACATGTGCAAAATGAGACTTTTTCAGTTCCTTGCTCGGTATTGAAGTAAAGTGTGTTTTATTTAAGCATCATTAAACATGGATTGTTACTTTGTTTGGAACTTTTTAGCCTGAGCTGGTATTTTTCCCAAAGTCAAATGTAACATTAATAAGATTGATTTGTACATACTTCTGAAAACAGATAGTAATTTGTATCCTATTTACATGTATTATTCAAATTAATGGTCGCTTTTTTTTTTTTTTTTTTTTTTTTCTTTTTTTTTTTTTCCGTCCTAGTCAAAGATTTTGTTTTTACCAGAATGAGGCTACCATATACATAAAAAATGTGTGCAAATGCGTGACCATATATGAATACAAATGTAGCTGGCTTTTGCTCATAATACTCCGTTTGAAACCAACAAAAGATGAAGGGTTTCTTTTTCTTTCTTCTGGGAAAGATTAATATTTGAATAATTCATATGTTGCATTCGTCATTGTAGAACCTTCCCCCCCCCCCAGAAACAAATTACCAGAGATAAAAAGTACTGCTATGTCATTAGCGGTTAAGGCAAACTGGTTTAATAGTAATGGTTATCGTGTTCACCCTTTTTAGAAGGGAAAATTGTTGAAACAGTGGAAAACACTGAAGCAAATCGGAACCTTTTTGTAGGCACACCAAAACCTGTTGCATCATGTGCATATATGTGTGTGCTAAAATCCTGCCGGAGTCAACACCACAAAAGCTGGTTTCTCTTTTTTTTTTTTTTTTTTTTGGCTATATGAACATTGTTTGCATCTACTCAGAGCACTGCATTCTTAAAAAAAAAGAAAATTGTGTGCTTTGTAATAAATAACTCAACATTTATTTACAAATTCCTGTAGGGGAGAAATGCCTACAGAAAAATGACTTTGTACTGGACCACGTCTTGTTTTTTATGTACAAGTTACCTTCAGCATAAACTTTCCTTAAACAGTGTGGTGTGAATGAAATACATTTTCATTCCACCTGTATTGAGTATTGGGCCAATTTGTTTTGTTGGTTAAAATACCCGAGTACACCTGGAATCTAGTTAGTAATCCACCATCCTTTTTTGGCCAAGTAGGCTATTAGGAAAATGGGTTTAAAACTGGTTATGCTTGCTAACCAGTTAAGTTGATGTTTAAAATTGTAGGGAAAATTGTGAGTATATTTGAGACCTAGCCCATTTCAATGCAACTGTAGACAAATTTCTGTTGAGCTGCTATAAGCTAGAATCCCTGAGAGGTGGCTCACTATCCATTCCTGTGAACATGTAATGTGTAAGTTTACAAAATGCATGAAAAATGCTTGTCTTTGCTCCTAAGATGTTAGTACCAGTTGGCTTTAAAAGCAGGGTCAGAATTGAGTGTGACAAGTCAAAAATATATTTCAAACTTGATTTTTAAATATGTTTTCATAGTGTGAACAAGTGTACAATAAAACAGCAGAGTCGCTATCGGGTACAAAAAGGACCACACGTCTTTGGAGCATATTTTTTGTGAATCACCAGTGGAGCAGTGTCACAGCCCTCAAGTTCAGAATTTTACCCCTAAAATTGAATATCAGAAATGCTGAAAGGCGCTAGCTGAGAAAGAAATCCACAGGCATGACAGGAAGCAGGAAAAAAAGGTTTGTTGAAAGACATGACATTGCCAGGTACATGGCCACGGTGCACTGTAATGGATTTCCTTCCTGACATACAGGAACATTTCCAAGGAAACGAACCCGCTTCAGCCAGGTGTTTATTTTAGCTTAAGCGAAAAGATAAAAGCTTTAACTATGCACAAGGAAGTTCAGTGGTTTATTTCACGAGTTAGTGTAACATGTATTATCGTGTCATGAGTTCGCATGAAATACATCCGGAGCAAGGATTCAGTATTTCTTTACTTTGTTAAACGGGATTCAAAAGTTCAGAAACAGTATACATGTACATTGCAGATACAGTGCAGCAGCTGCTTTGATGGTAAAAATACCTACCGTTGCTCAGTCCAACCAAATTTTATTACTTTCCTCTGCACTGGGGAAGGGGGTAATAAGGGTTTGATGGGTTTTCTTCATAACAAATGAGTTCAGCCATACATGGACAATCTACATGTACATCCAATTGCACATGATATCACATCTCCGCATAGAGGGGTGTCTGAAAGTACAGTGTACATGTATTTCACATCCATTTGAGAACAAAAAATACGAAAGAAACTACATATAGTTGGCATTTACAACCCATTAGATATGGGGCTTACATGTACAAAGTACATGTCAAACCTCACATGTTTTTTTACAGAAAATCAAATACAAGGTGAGTGTACACGCTGGCCAGAGAGGAGACGAGCACACGGCTGCGCTGTGACGACAGAAGAGATCAGAAGAGATCAGAAGATAGTCCTGCATTGCGAAGGCGATCCAGGGATTGTCTACTTGTGCCCTACAATTTCAATTAAATGTAGATCAGGAAGCCGGCCAGCATCTCGTACATTCCATACATGATACACACCCTTGGCTGCATCTGGGCATTTTAATAGGGTTAGAGATATTTTTCGTCTGTCTGTACTGCATCAGGTCTTGCTTTTGCTGGGATGCCCTACACTGGACTGCCCTACACTGGACTGACCACTCATCTTGATATGATATGACAGGACCGTAAAATATGTTTGCTGTCTGGTCAATAACGCCTTATCTCGATGCAATGACTAAACTCCCCTGCAACTCCTGTTCACATTTATATACCTGAAAATGAATGTACATGTATATTGCTGACTCGGTTCTTGTCAGCAGTGAAGTCAACTGGTCCCAGTTTGGAACACTTTAATTTACTTTGTATTTGTAAGGTTAATGCTATTTACACATTTCCACTGCATGTATGTGCATGTTCACCACTTCCATAAGCAGTTGTTTACAAACACTGCTCTTGAAAAACACTTTTCACATGCAGCTAACATTTGCTGTAAGAAATTAGTTTCACACTTTGCCTAAACCACAGAAAGTTTTTCCTGTGTTCTATGACCTTGGTTTAAGCTACTGTTTCCCCCACGTAGGCCAATTCCTTTTTTTTTTAAATTGAGGGTGTTAGGAGATGTTACTTTAGAAAAACATGAAACTTGCACTTTTAATAAAAATTTCACCCAGAAAAGTTCTAGTTGCCAAATGCACTGAATATTGTCTTAATTCTGATTGATACGAATGCGCACAGACAAGTGCTAGATGTCATGTCTGCACAAATTGCTTATGTTTTGAAGTGTTCTAACATATAGAAACGATGATATTTAGATCTTGGGTATGCCTCGTGTATTAACTGTATCAACTGCATATTATTGTACACCTGTACGGCAGTTTGTATACCGATACATGTAAATGTTTTGCAGCCCGAACACAAACAGTGACAGGTGCACACCCATTCAGTCAACTGTCTTCAAGCATCGAATGTTAATACCAACTTCATTTTCCTTGTTGGTAAATGGCATTTATATGGTAGTTTTTGCCAAGCCAAAACTAGATCACAGGTCATGCAGAGAGCTACAATAAAATAGCAAGAGTGCACGCCAGTTGATCAAGGGGGTTAGTAAGACACACTGGGGATGTGGTACTTTTCAGGCTTTAAAATAGCCATTCCAATCAATCATAAATTTCTGTTTAGAGTTTACCAGAGTTTGATCTTCATAGATTACCAGCCAAAAGTTGTGTAATGTGCAAATGTAGCTTGCGACTGGTTTGCACCTGACTCTGCTTTGCATAACAATAGCCAGTTTTGAGAATGTTCTTCTTTTCTGCATAAGAGCTCCATGAATTCAAAACCAGATCTGTGTGATTTCCAATAGTTTTGTTCAGAAAGGATTACGAAATCACATAATATGCCTTACAGTGCAGACACATGTATAGCTTTTGAGCCTAGCTGTAGATTAAAATGCAACTCCAAAGTTTATCCTTGAAAATCAACTGCATACATGTACACTTATATCCGGTGATTGCCCACAGCACGTGAGCTTTACAAAAGTTCATACATTCTACCCACTGCAGTGCAGACATTTCGATCATACAAATCCTTTGGCAAATGAGTTTTCAGATGAGTTGCCAGAAAGAGATCCAAAGTAATGAAATCAGATATACAAGATTCATCTTCGAAAGCCAGCCTGTGATTTTGTGCATATTCCTTCTTTTCTTGTTTGAAACTTAAAAAGGCACCCTCAGTCTCTTCCAAAAGCCCTGTTTTATTAAACACAGAAGTATTTGTGATGATCAAAAACTACACGGTCAGCGTCATAGCTGTGTCATAAATACGTAATAATGTATGCTGTGTGATTTTTTAGCTTTTTTCTTTCCACAGACTATAATGCAAATTCCACGTGCAGTTTCCTAACCCAAGTGACAGTTGTCTTTTACAATGTACATGTACATGCCATCGTTATTACTCAGATTGTTAAGGCTGACCCATCCATCTGGTGACTGAAGAATAATAAGCGTACCTGGCTAACTGCTGGCAGACTCCAGGCTTGTACGTGCCTTGTCACTGAACCAACCCTCCCCCCCTCTGATTGGTTAGCCGAGTGTCAAGGTATGTCAAGCTGCACTGTCAGGCAATCAGTCTAGCGTGGCTTATTTAATCACCAGTCGTATGCTTCATGCAAACTAGATCCCTGAGCATTATTAATGATTATTAATGAAGATATGAAAACTCATATGAATTTATGTTGCTGGTGTCTCCAAAGCTGTTTTTGTTATTGCAATTTAGTCACAACAAATGCACAATAGGTTTACTCGAGCCTATCCCAGTGATACAAAACTACTACCCTCCGAGGACGCGTTAAACGCATAACCTCTATATGACTGCTGTTTGGCTTACATCATTTAGAGTAGTGTGCCTTTACAAAGCACTCTTTACAACATCAGGCCTTCTCTTCAAGCAAAATTTATTGCGGTCCATGTGTTTATTCTTTATTCTAAACAGTATGTAAAGTACGTTCTCATTTCTCAAATTGAGAAAGGTTATTTCCTTAACTGTTGTTTATAAATTTAAGTTATGAGATCCTTTTTGTGTACAAACATTGCCTACCATTTTTTATGGGTTGCCATGCAAAGTTTGCAGACGTCTAATCTCTTCATGGCTGGCTGTAGTTTTGCCTGTGTCTATGTCAGTTCTTCTTGTTGCAAGAACTTAAACCTGAGTTTCTCAATCAGGCAATCGATCAGCTTGTTTCCAACTAACTCCCGTCACAGTCACAAAGTTCAGTCCTTAATTTCCCGAATCACCTCATTATCAGGATAATTATTGTTTACTTATCCACAGATGTCTGAAATTTGAATAGGTTGGATGCAGCTTCCAAAGGTTGTATTCAAAGAGATCAAACGGCACCATACGGCTATGCTCAGTCTGGTCACGCACCCGAGGAATGGCGTACGTGATTCCACAAAAAAAAATCAAGCCTTAATACATTCTTCTGCACATGCTCATAAATCTTGATGTGATCTTGTCAAAACCATAGAATTATGAAGATCCTTTGGGAACCAGAATGCGGGGAAAACTTTCAATGGAAAGTTCCATTTTTAAACTGCTTTCCTTTTAGTTAGCAGGCTACAGGCATCCCACCACAATGGCCATACAAATGAAGCACGGCATCACCCAATGCCTGGTCACCTGTTACATACTGGTGCTTGCCCAGTTTTTATTCCTCTCGGTCAAGGACCCACACTGACAAATGCTGGTCACTGACCTTCAGAGATTTATTCAGTCCCAATGGCAAAAGAGAAGAGCATTTCTCTGGATGTAGTGATAAAAAACCCTACTTCCTGGGTGTAGGTGTGATATGGAACCATGCACAATACTTACTTGAAGGGCAGTGAGAATTTAGATATGCACATAGTTGGTGCCAAGGTGGAGAGGTATATCACTACCCCGTTGACCCTATACCCATCAGTAATTCAGACATGCCCACAAGACATGCCCACAAACACTTACCCAGCAGCAGAGTACCTTTGGAAAGTGCAAGCGGATGCACAAGTGAAGTTGTACAAGACTGTACAGGGTAAATAACATCATTCCCAATGAACATTAGAACACTTCTTGGAAGCCATAGTTCTAAGAATGGGACGGGTTCTACTCTTGCAAGAAATGAAATGCCTCCCCAACAATCTTGTACTTCTCTTTTAAAATAAACAACTGCTGTACAGAGATTACACAAATACATGCCTCCATGTTGGCACGGCTACAAAACCGCCACATACCAGTGGGCACTTACATATATTTTTCTGTCCAAGGAATTCTGCCTAGCTAAAACAAGTGGAGGGAATTAAGCACAAAACTGAGGATGCACTAAACCAGCCTGGAGAAAAATCCAAACAGAAAACTCTGTGGGGGCGAGCTTGCATTCCATGGCGCGCTGTTAAAGATGAAAGTAGTTGGTAAACATTTGACAACAAGAATTACTGCTCCTGGTGGTCTCTTTTGCCAACATTTACAAGATTTTATTAACAAGAATGA